GACGAAGGGGCAAACATCAATCCGCCGCCCTCAATTACCTCTTCAACTGGCCTGCAAACAGCAAATATCAACATGGCGCCGAGAATTCTCAAGACGAAGAGGCCGCCCACATTCGACCCAAGCCAGCATAACAGTTTGTCCGTCGGCGGATGGATTTTCTATCTAAACGTTTTTTACGACTGCAACATCATCGTCGATGATGCGCAAAAAAACTTATACGCCGTTTCGCTCCTATGTGGATCAGCGATGGATTGGTGACGGAAAATAATCCTGTCGCAGGAGTCGGGTACAACACCGCACGTGATCGGGTGTTTTCGCACAACCAATCACTGGGCATGAAGCTTTTGCAAGGTGGATGAGTACAGCACGTGGCAACCCTGGTGCGCGGGAATTCGTCGTCGCTTCTAACACATCAATGCAAGCAATCAAGCGCACTACCATCTTTGCACATGGCACCAACTCGGATCAGTCCAAGACTACACCCGCAGCTTCAAGAATCTATGCGACCAGATCGGTTACATTCACCCTTAAGAAAAAAATCCACAGATACGTCGGGGGAATTCGGCCGGATCTGTGCCGAGAAATACAAGTGCAAGAGATTACACATGGAATGAAGGCACAGAGGGTTGCAGAGCAGATGGATTCATTCCATAGACCAAGGGTGGGTTCCTACGATGGAAATCACACTCGGGGACCAATCGAGTGCACCATTGTACACATTGTTACAACTTCAAACTTAGCAGTTACAGTGGTTTAGGCCGGGACACCGCAAGTAGGAATTCCCAGAGGAGCGGAAGAAGCAGAATCAGGGGTAGGGAAGTTCCAGCGATCAGGGCAACGCTTAGTGTCAATACTTCATGGGCCTACTATTGATGGAACTTGCTTTCCCATGATTGATGACCCTTATCGAGGGTTGGTACCGATCCATGCAATCGACCAAACTCGGTTAAATAAGGAGGGTGAAGCAGCAGAATACCCCATTTATTTAGAGGGTAGGGTTCAAGGGGAAAAAATTTTCTTGGTGGACAAGGGGAGCCAGCCACAGTCTGATCAACCTCGCCACGACCAAGAAAAGAAGGTTACCCTTAGAAAGGTTTCTACCGGAGATCGATGCCCGACTAGTCAACGTGACCCCACTAGCAATAATAGACGGGCGGAAAAGATTAGGGTACGCTATGGAGCTGACTCAAAAATTTCTATGGGTATGCTGGCAACTACACTTGATGGCTTCGACATGCTGCTGGGACGAGATTGGCTGTGCCGCTTCAACCCAAAAATCGATAGAGACGACCGGCAGGTGTCAAGTGAAGATCAACGGCCGTGGTGTAGTGTATCTATAATGGACAAAGGGGATCACAGGGGGAGTGACGCAGGTGAACCCAATGGCGATAAGAAGTGTTGTTGCACAGGAGCGGAAGTCTTCGCTGTTGTTATTCGCGGGATTGACGGGGATCAAAATGGTCGAGAGAAAGTTGCAATATTGATCGATACAAGACGCTTTTATACTTCAGGTAACCAGGTTTATCCTATCCCAAGGAAAAAGAACCTTCAAGAAATAGAATCACCCTGCATATAGCCACGCGATGCTATTGGCTTCAAGGGATTACGACATGATTACGCTAGATATAGCGTGCCAGTACATCTTGAGCCAAGTAAGTGATATAATAGTCATTACAAGATAACCCAAAGGATACTGGAAATCGAGGAATAGGAAACCAAATTAGATGAGATAAAAGACCAAATGAATCAAGATAAAAAGAAGAATGAGATAGAGAAGAATATATAAAGGGGAAAGAAGTGTAGCGGGGTCGTACTCTCGCACTTCCCCCCCTCAAAGCTGGGTGGTAGAAGTAACACCCCGCTTGAGAAGGTAGTCGTGAAGAGGACGACGAGCGATACACATGTCCGATGCAGAGACCCAGCTATCCTCAGACGGATCATAGCCTTGCCAACGCGTAAGAAGCTCCAAGGTGCCATTCCGACGGTGGCGGTGTGCAAGCACAGACTCAACCTTGTACTCGGGTGCATCATGGTTGAGGACGGGCGGTGGTGGCGGCGGTTGGCATCCAGTGAAGATCGTGTTGGGATTGCGGTAAGGCTTCAGAAGTTGGACATGGAAGGCATTGTGAATCTTCCAGGTAGCTGGCAGGCGTAAGCGGAAGGTAACGGGGGTGACCTGTGCTTCAACGAGAAAGGGTCCGCAGATGCGAGGTCGAAGTTTGGATGGGAGATGGCTGATGTCGAGATTGCGAGTGTCGAGTAGGACATGTTCTCCCACGGTGATGGTGTGGTCATTGCGGTGGCAATCGGCCTAGCGCTTTTGTTGCTGCTGAATATCGAGGAGGCGCTTGTGGGTCCGATCTAAGAGCTGATGCATGGTGGTGATGAAGTCCTGTGCAGTTTGGACTAAGGCTGGTGTTGTCAGTTCCTGTGGGGTGAGTGGGTTGCGTCCATAGTAGAAGAAGGACGGCGTCTGTCTAGTGGCAGCGTGAGTGCAGTTATTGTAGGCAAAATCCAGGACAGGCATATGCAAGTCCCATTTAGAGATATCGTCCTTGCAGGCTGCGCGGATGAGTTGCGCGACAATTTGGTTGAGGCGTTCGATTTGTCCGTTGGTCTGTGGATGGCATGCAGATGACATGGCGAGTTTGGTCCCGAGCAGAGACATCAGGTCCTTCCCGAACTTGCTGGTGAACTTAGGGTCTCGGTCTGAGATGCTGGGAGATGATGTAGCGAACAAACAGTTGTGCCGTCTCCTCGGTGCATGCTGTCGTGTGTGTTGGGATGAGGTGTCCCATTTTGGAGAATTTGCCGATGACGACAAGGATTGCGTCATGACTGCTTGTGGTAGTTGGTAACCCGTTTATGAAGTCCAGGCTAACCACTTGCCATGGTTGTTCTTGGACAAGAAGAGGCTGTAGCAGTCTTGCTTTTTTTTGCTTGCTGCTCTTCATCCGCTGACATGTGTCACGCGAGGTGACGAATTTTTGTACGTCGTCTGCCATGTGGGGCCATTACCAGAGAGCGTCTTGTTACTACCGAAGTGTCTGGCGTACACGACATCATGGTATTCAACGAGTAGTAACTAACGCAAAGGCGAGAAGTTCGCTACCCAGATTTTCTGTAAGCCTTTCCAATAGACGATGTTAATGTCCCACTGTAGCAGGTGCCGCTTCTCTGCCAAGGGGATTTTGGGTTCAATGGTGTACCTGTGTGTGACGAGGCCCTTGAGTAACAGATTCATCCCTTCGACCTCGATAGCGGCAACGTATGCATGCCAGTTGAGAGCGCCTGCTTTGTTTTTGTGGCCGGGCTTGTATACGATCTCGTACTAGAATTGCGTCTCGAGGAAGTCAATCCACCGGCGTCGCCGCCTGGAAAGGTTTGGATGTGTCTTCAAATATTTCAGACTGCAGTGGTCGATGTATGTTGGTGCAACCCTATGGCTTGCACTCGGCTTGTCGTCCTTGTTTGTGTGTGTGCATGCATGGCATGGAATGAATTGTGAGTCTATGTCATTGCTATCTAGTGCTTGTGTGTGTGTTTGAATGGTGTATCACAATGTGGCTTGTGTCGGTCAAGACATTAGCGAGTTTTTACAACTCGCATGTCAAGTCGTCGTTTGTGTGTCGCATGTGTTTTTTCTATTTTGTCGAGTGTGAAGTGTCCATCGTGTCGCAGGTGTGTGCAGCAAGCCCCCATGAACTCAAGAAGAATTTATCTTGCATATCCAAGAATAAGAGCTCAAGATTTCAAGCCCAAGGGACGCGGATAAATATTAAATAGTGAAAGTAGTAACGTTACTTCGTGTAGTGTTACATTTCACTTGGTGTAGCCCCTTGGAGGGTTGGTTTCGAGACTCTTCATGGTTGGGGACTCTGTGGTGGTGTACCACCAACCTGGACCTCGGCTCTTGGGTTATGTAGAGGCTGGGAACCATCTCCCTCTCCAACTCTTCTTGCTAAGTTTGTACTCCTAAGACTATAGTGGCTGCTTTACCTCCTGCTAGTCAAACCGCCATAGCGTCGTCAAATCTTCATGGAATTTCATGATTCAACTTGCTGCTGATAGACGACAGTTACGCGCTCCAGATCCATTTTACAGATCACCGTTTAATTCAGTGACCAGATCGTTATCAATATTTGAAGCCGTCTGACGGAAATCCGACTGTGCTCTCTATCTCTCATTATAGGCACATCTAAGCCTATTGTGGTTATAACAAGTGGTATCAGAGCCCCTTGGAGCCCTCTCAACCATGCCTAGGCCTGAGGAAGGGGGTGGCAGAGGTGTTGGAGGCAGAGAAGACGCCCAAGCACAAGGTCAACACCAAGATCCACCCGTTGCTCCGGTGCAACCTAGCCTTGGACCCTCTAGGGATGAGCCTAGAGTGTTTGGCCTTGACAAGTTCAACGGTGACAACTTTGCTGAGTGGTCCTTCAAGATGGAGAACATCTTTGACCATTATGATCTGCTGGAGGTGATGGAAGGAACGGAGAAGCGCCCCGAGAACGACCCGGAGAAGAGCCCGTGGGTGCGGAAGAGCGCACAAGGCTACCTTCTACTTGGGCAAGCGTTGGGGAGCAGCCAAATCTGTCACATCAAGCCTTTTCAGCATGAACCAGCAAAGGGACCAAAGGCATGGGCTGCTCTCAAGGGTGTACACGCTCCTGCAACAGCGGCGGTGGCTGTGGTTTTGGAGCGGCAAATGGCGGCACTTCGAATTGACGAAGGCGAACCGGTGGAGGAAGGAGTGCAGAAATTCTTCGACTTATTGACACGGCTCGAAGGAGCTGACCTGAACTACAGTGACCTTCAAAAGAAGACCAAGCTGCTAGCCTTACTTCCGGACTCATGGTCTTCGCTCATCATCAACCTTAATCGAGATCTGCCCCGTCTCTCACTCGAAGATGTGAAGCGGGAAATCTTACAAGAAGATTTCCGCCGTCGCGAATTGGCGGGTCCCGATGGTGCCGGAGTTGCAAGCATGGGCTGTGGGCACGGCCGTCGAAGGGGCAGAGGGCGAGGAGGAAGATTTGGCAGCAGTAACTTCAGTGGAGGCCGTGGTAATGGAGGATATGGCAGCAACAACAACAATGGCTACGGGCGTGGGCGCGGTCGATTTGATGGCGAATGCCACTTTTGTCACAAGACCGGCCACATGTGGAGAGATTGCTTCAGATTGCCTGATGGATGGACCCCTTCTCAAGGCCAAGAGGGCAGAGGAGCAAGGGGAGGAAGAGGCAGAGGTCGTGGAGGCCGTGGTGGCCGTGGAGGCGAAGCGGCAAGCATGAAAGGTGGAGACTACGACAAGGACTCGAGTGAAGATCGATACCCGGGCCAATTCTTCTTTATCTCCACACAAGCGGCAGCTGCAGCAGAAGGTGTGGATGGCTTTGAGGAGCCAGCTACTGTGGGAAAGGTCACCCTTCACTCTCTGGACTTTTGGGTGATCGATAGCGGCGCCACCTACAGCATGACACCTCGTGCGAACTTGCTCACCGAACTCGAACCGTCGCCGGTCAAGCATGTTACATCGGCTTTGGGGCAGCGAGCAGAGGTGAAAGGCATGGGCAAGGCCATGTTCAAGGGTGCTGATGGGAAGATGGTGGGCCTCAAGAACGTGCTTTGGATGCCCACCCTTGCAGCCAACCTGATCTCTGTTCGGCGTTTGCAAAAGGCCGGCATGGACACATCTTCCAAGGGCTCCAAAACATATGCCGCGAGGCTTGGTGAGCGGAAGCTTTGAGACCTTCATGAGGACAGGGACATCTACAATGAGATGTGGCAAATCCCAGTGGTCCCCATGCCTAAGGGGAGGCAAGTGGCAGCAAGCGTCAGCACCAAGAGTGAAGCGGTTGGTGGCGGTGATCACGGAAAACAAAGTGACACCAAGAGTGACTCGAAGGAGTGCAACCTTGGAGAGACCAGCAAGGCGTGTGAACCCAAGGAGAGTGGTGCAGCAGCCAAAGGTGGTGGAAATGAGGAGGAGAAGCCTAAGATCAGCAAAGCAGCAGCGGCGAAGGAGAAAGGAGAGAGCTTGTGGGGCACGATTGCGAGTGCCGCTTTCTCCAACCCGACTTCCGCTACGGGAGAGTGTGATTGGCTGACCTTGCATCGGCGAATGGGGCATGTGGCATTGCCCATTTTGCAGCAGATAGTTAAGCAAGAGATGGTCAGTGGGATACGTGTCAAGGGGGAGCCCAATGAGGTGCTTGGCTGTCCAACATGCATGCAAGCCAAGTTCACCCGCTACCCGTTCCATAGCTCGGAGACAACGGCGAAGGCACCACTTGATGAGGTGGTGATGGATGTGGTGGGCCCCTTGAAGCTTGGAGCTGCTGGAGCTGAGTACTTCCTCACCATTCTGGACGTCTACACTCGCATGACTTGGGTGTATGTGCTGCCGAAGAAGAGTGACGTAGCTGAAACAGTGAAGACCGATTGGTTGCCGATGGTGGAGCGGCAACAAGACCGACTTGTGAAGGCGATTCGCACTGACCGTGGGGGAGAGTTCCTGAGCAAGGATTTCTCAACTTGGCTGAAGAAGCAGGGCATAAGGCACTCTCTTACCATGCCCTACTCTCCTGCAATGAACGGCATCGCCGAGCGTGCGAATCGGACACTCACGGAGACGGCTCGGGGACTTCTCATTGAAGCCGGTCTTCCCAATTATTTTTGGCCGGATGCGGTGCGGCATGCTTGTGTGGCCAAGAACAGAGCCTTGACTCATGTGGGAGAAGACAAATGGGTGCCCTATGTGGAGTGGATTGGAAGGAAGCCGAAGGTGGATATGCTTCGGGTGTTCGGGTGCATGTGCATGGCACTTGTGCCTAAGAAACTTCGGCACAACAAGCTTGATGCCAAGGCAACATGGGCCGTGCACCTGGGCATGGCTCAAAACAGCAAGGGATGGCTTCTTTGGGACCCATTTACCAAGAAGTTCTTGGTGAGCAGAGATTGCAAGTTCATGGAGAACTTACCGTACAAGGAGTGGAAGGCGGAGAATCAAGCGAAGATTGGTGTGCGGCTTGGAGAGGTGAAGAGTAACGGCTTGGAGCATGTGGAGCTGCCCTTGGAGCTGAGTAGCAGCAGCACAGTCACGAGGCAATCTCCTCAAATGAATGGGGATGAGGAGGAGGAGGAGGTGCAGCAAGGTGATGAGCGTGCACCGTCACTTCCGCCTCGTGCTACAAGTGCTCGTGGGAACCGACCAGATTTACCGCAACGCCATGAGAGCATTCAAGTCCCTGCAGCAGAGGAGGAAGGAAGGGGGAGAAGGAGGACTCAGCCCCCTAATAGGTTGAGCTATGACCGGCTTGGAGGACCAGCCAACTCAACCTTGACCAGTTCGGCTCTCATGCTAGGCGATGATGCGGAAGATGAAAGCGAGGAGTGCGCCTTTGCCTTTTTCTCTCCGGTGGAGATACCGGGGGAGCCTACAAATCCCAAGGAGGCTTGGGAGGGCCCCAATGGGAAGGAGTGGAAGAAGGCCTCAGATGAAGAAATGGGGAGCATCATCGAGAACGACACGTTTGACTTGGTGAACCTACCTCTGGGGCGTAAGGCGATTTCTTCCAAGTGGCTCTTCAAGCGCAAGACCGACGCCGACGGCAACATTGAGCGCTACAAGAGCAGACTTGTAGCCAAGGGGTACCAGCAGTAGGAGAAGAAGGACTACAATGAAGTATATGCTCCTGTGGTGAAGGGTACAACCCTTCGAACTCTCTTCGCCGCGGCGGCCATCAAAGGATGGGTGGTGAAGCAAATGGACATTGTAACGGCCTTCCTCAACGGCGTTCTGGAGGAAGAGACCTACATGGAGCAGCCAGAGGGGTACAATGATGGGAGTGGCAGAGTGTGGAAGCTGAAGAAAGCACTCTATAGCCTCAAGCAAGCTCCTAGGCAATGGTACATCAAGCTGCGGGAAGTCTTGGAGGCGATCGGCTTCACTCCCTCAACGGCCGATCAATCGTTGTTCATGCTTAGCGAGGGGGAGCAGAGGAGCTTCATGGTGGTTTATGTGGATGACATCCTCATATTCTCACTCTCCTCTGACCTTGTGAAGGAGGTGATGCTGAAGCTTCAAGACAAGTTCAAGTGCAAAACCCTTGGTGACGTCAACTACTACCTTGGGCTTCACATTGAGCGAGATGTGGAGAAGCGGTGGATGCGAGTGCATCAAAAGAAGTACTTGGAGGCCTTGGCTACAAACTTTGGGAAGAGTGAAGGTCATGTGGCTACTCCTCTTCCCTCACGGTTCAAGTGTGTGAAAGGACCAGTGGAGGAAAGTGTTGGTGAAGAGGAGAGGCGCCGTTTTCACTCCTTGGTGGGCAGCCTCATGTATGCGGCCGTTCACACAAGGCCGGATGCAGCCTTTGCTACCGGGCAGCTGGCTAGGGTTGTCCAATGCCCTAATGAAGAGCAGGTAGCAGCTGGAGAGAGGGTGGCCAAGTTCCTTGGCCAAACAGCAACTGTTGGACTGCAATACTCCGCGGCGGCACAAGGGCGTCAAAAGGGTGCGGATGGAGTCGAACCCGGGAGGTTCTTTCTCACCGCCTTCTCTGATGCATCTTGGGCATCAGAACCAGAGGACATGACAAGTGTGGGAGGTTTCATCTGCTGTGTTGATGGAGGGCCAACAGCTTGGGAGAGCAAGAAGCAAGTGGACCAAGCATTGAGCTCGGTGGAGTCCGAGTACATGGCACTCTTCCGTGCCATAAGAGAGGTTGTGTGGCAGCGGCGTTTGCTAGCTGAATTGGGGGAGGAGCAGCAAGGACCTACCCCACTCTACTGTGATAGCCAAGGTGCTATTGCATTGGCTAAGAACCCCGTTCTTCATGGCCTTACCAAGCACATGAAGGTGAAGTGGCATTGGGTGAGGAGCATGGTAACCGCGGGTGAAGTGGAGTTGCACTACGTGAAGACGACGGCGCAGCCAGCTGATATGATGACCAAGAGGCTGGTTGAGCAGCAGCATTGGAAGTGTTGCAAGCTTGCTGGGATGGCTCTGAACTAAGGGGAGCAGATTCTAAGGCCAACAATCCGAGGGCGAGTTTGTTGGTGCAACCCTATGGCTTGCACTCGGCTTGTCGTCCTTGTTTGTGTGTGAAGATGCATGGCATGGAATGAATTGTGAGTCTATTTCATTGCGATCTAGTGCTTGTGTGTGTGTTTGAATGGTGTATCACAATGTGGCTTGTGTCGGTCAAGACATTAGCGAGTTTTTACAACTCGCATGTCAAGTCGTCGTTTGTGTGTCGCATGTGTTTTTTCTATTTTGTCGAGTGTGAAGTGTCCATCGTGTCGCAGGTGTGTGCAGCAAGCCCCCATGAACTCAAGAAGAATTTATCTTGCAGATCCAAGAACAAGAGCTCAAGATTTCAAGCCCAAGGGACGCGGATAAATATTAAATAGTGAAAATAGTAACGCTACTTCGTGTAGTGTTACATTTCACTTGGTGTAGCCCCTTGGAGGGTTGGTTTCGAGACTCTTCATGGTTGGGGACTCTGTGGTGGTGCAACACCAACCTGGACCTCGGCTCATGGGGTATGTAGAGGCTGGGAACCATCTCCCTCTCCAACTCTTCTTGCTAAGTTTGTACTCCTAAGACTATAGTGGCTGCTTTACCTCCTGCCAGTCAAACCGCCATAGCGTCGTCAAATCTTCATGGAATTTCATGATTCAACTTGCTGCTGATAGACGACAGTAACGCGCTCCAGATCCATCTTACAGATCACCGTTTGATTCAGTGACCAGATCGTTATCAATATTTGAAGCCGTCTGACGGAATTCCGACTGTGCTCTCTATCTCTCATTATAGGCACATCTAAGCCTATTGTGGTTATAACAGTGTAGATGGTTGTTCTTCGTCCTTCAAGAACATCTCCACGTTTTGAAGGCGATGATAATAGCAAGGGCATCTTTGTGATGTATAGGGTGATTTTGTTCTGCCCCGTGCAGTTTCTTGCTGAGGTAGGCGATTGGTTGCAGTCCATTCCCCTGGTCTTGCATCAAGACTGCTCCCACTGGCGTCAGCTTCGATGACGTAGTCACGTTCGGGTTCTGGCAAGATGAGGACGGGTGCGGACGTGAGTGCTTGTTTCAGCTGCTCCACGGCTTCCAAATGTTTTGGTTCCCAATTTTAGGGCGATTTCGTCTTCAGCAGATTCGTGAGTGGTGCAGCAATTTTTGCGTATTGTGGCACGAACTTGTAATAGTTGGCGAAGCCTAGGACCTGTTGCAACTCCTTCACGTTCTTGGGTATCGTCCACGTGCGCACAGCTTCGATCTTCTTGGGGTCGACGTGAACCCCTTGAGCGCTCGCCCATGTCCTAGGTACTGGACCTTCTTGAGGGCGAATTCACTCTTGGATAATTTGACATAGAAGCATTCTCGTCGAAGAATTTTGAAGACACGTCGCAGGTGTTGGACGTGTTGCTTCATGTTGCGTGAGTAGATGAGGATGTCTTCCAGGTACACCACCACGCATTCGTCCAAGAGTGGGCGAAGAGCTGTTGGGTAACCTCGGCTTTGTTGAAGCTTGCCATCCTATTCAAAACACGCGCTGAGGGGTTAATTCAAAAACACGGAGCTGGTGCTTACCAGGATCGACGCCGAATTAGTTGCCCCCTGCGGTTTTTCGAGGCACATTTTCCCGCCGCTGCTACTTAGCTGAGCGTGGCCAAGTGAGAAAGGCTCTGATTACCAAGTGTTTCAGGATCAAAATGGTTGAGAGAAAGTTGCATTATCGGTCGATATAAGACGCTTTTATACTTCCAAGGTACATCAGGTAACCAGGTTTATCCTATCCAAAGGGAATAGATATAGTGTGCCAGTATATCCCGAGCCTGGTTAGTGATATAATTATAATAACAAGATAATCCAAAGGATAATGAGGAATAGGAAAACAAATCAGATGAGCTAAAGACCAAATGAATCAGGATATTGAGATAGAGAAGAATATAGAAATGAGAATGAAGAGTAAGGGGATCGTACTCTCACACTTTTGATTTAGAAAAGCTGGCAGCAGCAGTGCCGATCGACCTCGTGTAGCTGATTCGCAGATTCTCGCAAATATTTTCATATGACCTGCCCAAGGAATTTCCACCAGAACAGCCCTTCATCCATAGTATCAAAATAGAACTCAGCGACAATTTTGGCTAACGCAGCCGGAGTTAGAAGAATTGCGGAAGCAGCTAGATTATTTACTGGAGAAAAAAAAAATCATCCGCACGAGCTCCTCACCATTTGCCCCCCCCATACTGTTCACCCCCAAGAAGGGCGATGGGTACCGAATGGGCACTGACTACATAGCACTGAATAGTGTGACTAACAAGTCACGTTGCCCCATCCCATGTGCTGACGAACTGATCGACCAACTTCGCAAAGCCCGCTTCTTCTCGAAAATATATCTACGAGGGGGTGACCATCAGATTCGAGTAGTCGTAGCTGACTGTCACAAAATAGTGTTTCGTACTAGGTACGGGAGTTTCGAGTATGTAGTTTTGCCCTTCGGACTCACGAACGCCCCGGCCACTTTTCAAATGTCCATGAACCAGATTTTCTGTTCGCTCGTAGATAATTGTGTTATAGTTTACCGAGATGACATCTTGATCTACAGTGAGACCCGGGAGCTGCACTTAAAGGATCTGGAAGCAGTTTTCATGCTACTACGGGAGCATCGGCTGCTCACAAATGGGTCTAAGTGCGAGTTCTTAAAAGATAGGCTAGAATTTTTAGGTCACGTAATTTCCACTAAGGGCGTTGAAGTTGACCCGCGGAAGATCCGGACTGTGCAAGCCTGGCTACCGCCTACGAACCTGTAGGAGCTGCAAAGGTTTTTAGGTTTCGTCAATAACGTTCGGCGATTTATCCCAAATATGGTGGGGGTAACAGCACCGTTGACCGACCTGCTGCAGAAAGGGACTGAGTATAGGTGAGGGGAGAAAGTGCAAGCCGTCTTCTTCCCGCTAAGAACTTTTTTGTGCTCAGCCCCAGTCCTTCGCGCCGATCCTCACCATTCGAGTCGTCAGTGACGCAAGCAAAATCGCCATCGGAGTGGTACTGTTACAGGACTTTGACGAAGGTCTGCAGCCAATCGCGTACGATTCTCAAAAGTTACACCCGCCCGAGCGAAACTATCCGATGCACGACAAGGAGATGCTTGCGATTGTGCATGCCTTCAAAGTGTGATAGTGCTACCTGGCAGGTGCGAACGTGACAGTACGGACATACCATAGCAACCTTCGGTACATCCGTACACAGCCACTACTCAATCCGCGACAGATTCGGGTGTTGGATTTCATGGAATCCAATTTCCACTACACCGTCACCTACAATAAGGGGGCATCGAACATTGTAGACCCCCTTTCTCGCCCATCCGCCCATCTCAACTCCATCATTCTCGCCCAAACTTCCCTGATACTTACAGGCTTACTTACCCACGTGTACCAGACGGACATATTCTTTACATTGGGTGCGTACAAACAACTCTCAACGGCTAAGGGAGTCTATTATGTAAAGTCAATGACAGACTGCATCTGGGTATCAGAGTTCAGCCTACTACATAAATTATTATTCAGGAAGCCCAAGAAAGTACAGTTTCAGGGCACTTCAGAGTGGAGAAAACACGCCAATAGTTGACTACAGTAGATATTATTTCTGGCCTTACATGCAATGGGACGTTGTGAGAGCAGGATAGGTTTCCTAGGAGAAAGGACTATTTCTTCATTTTCTAGGACACTATTGATTACCTAGAATACTCCTTCTAATCACTCGGATTATTTTATCCAAAGTGGTTTGGATTATTCTTGGTTATCATAAGTGTATGTGTTATCTAGATTAACTGTTGCGTGCACCGAGTGTTCACCGTATTTCGGCGAATCCTCTAGTGTTTCTAGAACAGTTGCTTCTAGAGGGAAATGGTTCCTTTCTGGAACATTTTCGTTTTAGCTAGACTCGCGCCTCGCTAGGAGGACCTCATGAGTGCTCGCCTATAAATTGTGTTATTCCTCGGGATTCTGATTCAACATTCAATATTCATTCTATAGTTACATTCTCTCTCGCACTATGCATAGCACATTCGATCCTGTGACACTTGGTATCAGAGCCTAACCCACTTCTAGTGACTGGGGCTTCGAAAACCGCACAGGTGAGCCAGTTTAAGCCGAGGCCGACAAGTAAGTACGGAATCCGCTTTTTGCAACTAATCCCTTGTGTAATTTTTCGATGCCGACCCGGGCACAGGAAGCAGAAAAAAGTGCTTTTAGAGGAGATCGCACAGTTACATGGCGAACTCGCTCAAACGCACCAAGCAGTGGTGACGACATCGCAGCAGTCGTCAAAAACCAACCCGAGGCTCCTCGTTTTTGCGCACCTGAATCGTTTGACCCCAGCGACAGATCATGTGACGTTCGTCGATGGGTCGGAGCCATCGAAATCTATTTCGCGGTGATCGAATGGTCAACGACAACTCACGACAACAAAATGGTTCAGTTCGCAACGACGCTCATGCGCGGCCTCGCTCTTGAATGGATCTTCAATAGCAGTCAACATATACAGTGCGAAGCCACGTAGAAGCAGTTTTGTGACAAACTACTTATCCGTTTCAAGCCCGTAAATTTGATCTACATCGCGCGGGAACATAATCATCGGCACAGACAATTTTCGAGTTTGGCACAGTACACGCAGCAAATGAAGCAGATTTACGCGCAGATACACAACATTACGGACAGCAAAAAAAATCAATCATACATGGCGGGATTGAAACCAGACGGGTGACGACAAGTGGCAACATCGAACTACAGTAATTACCACGACCTCGTCTCTGTTGCCGAATGATTTGACATCTTTCGGAGTCACGACACACGACGCTCGGGCAAACGTGGCCCTTGAAACCACGTCCGACACGAGTGCTTGGCTTTTCCCACGACCGCCGACCCTGTCGAGATCGACCATTTTGACGCACGTTCGCGTTACGACAGAAGAAAGCGACATGATTTCTGTGGCGCGAATGGGCACGAAATCGGTCAAAGCAGGAGAATTATTGCAGCATGAGCAAGTGCGGAGCCATGCGCGGTAGCGAGACCCCTCCAATTTTGGCGAATCAGAAGCGGAAAAATGGTCGCCACGATTGATTGCGGATCTACAGTGACGGAAACAATTGTCCGGATGTTTTGTACTAACTAGGGTTTTTGGGCATTTCGACCACTGTACATAAAGTCTTAATGTTTAATGGTGGCACGCTTTGGGAAGGGCACATAGTGGATGTGTTCATAGTGCTATGGTCCATAATAATACACTGGATCTAAATTAGTGCGAAAAGATATCCAAAGAGTACATTTGGACAATTGTTTCCCAGGACAAAGAGCAAACTTCCGAACAGCGTTCCGAATCCCCGGTGCCATGTTGATGCTTGCAGTTTGCAGGCCAGTTGGAGAGGTAATCGGGGGCGGCAGATTTCTGTTCGCCCCTTCACCAACTTCCGCTCGTCCAATAGCCGGTGGCGGGTTGTTCGTCGAACCCTCGGGCGAAGCCGCATGTGGTCGCTGATAATCACCAAGTATTTCGGAACGCTGCTGGGCTACTTGCTCTTGTTGTCCTTGGTTTGTCGTTGGTGCGATCATGTCGTGTCAAGTCTAAGGCAGTCGGCTCTAAAGTGCATATAACTTAGATTCAGCTTGGACCGTTTCAGCTCACAGGCGTGTCAACTCCAACAGATACAACTCGTGAGGGAGACGGACTTCTTCAAGTTCTGCCGCCCTTTCTTAAGGAGTCATGGCTGTAGATGGCGACGGATCTGTGAAAGTAAGAATGAATAACTAGAATGAGAGATACAAGGTGCTTCTGTGCTAAGGGGTTGTACTCTCTAAGAGTATTCACCTATCTAGCCTATAAAACATATATATATATATATATATATATATGTTTTGACACATCCCCTAGGCTAGATGAGGGGCAGTGCCCAGCAAGAGATAGACAGCTCAGGGTGGCACTACTAGTCCAACCTCTAAGGCAAGGGTCCGAAGACCAATCAAAAAGAGTACAAACAAAACAAGAGCAACTGGCGGTACTACTAGCCCAGCCACTGGGACAAAAGCCATAAGGCCAGTCAAGATAATATAAAAGTAGTACACAATCAAGGTCCTAGCAAGTGTGAAGCTACAAGAACAAGACCAAGCTGTACACAGTGCCACTGATGATCTTTAGGTGCAAGCACCTTCGTAATGATATCAGCTCTGGTGGCAGCGGAGGCCAAGTATACTACACAGGCCTGACAGCGCTGCTGTAGCTCGCGCAGGAGGAAGTACCGCAGCTAGATGTGCTTCGCTCTGCCCTCAAGTCGAGGCTCCTGACATAGGAGGAACATGGCCCTGTTGTCAGCGTACATGACCGGGGTAGAGCTAGGCTGCTCACCTAAGTCGGTGAGAAAGAAGGTCAGCCAGCGGAGCTCCTATGCCGCCATGGCATCGGCGTAGATCTCAGCCTCACAGCTAGACTGGGCAACCAACGCCAAACGGGTGGACCTCCACGAGATGGTGCCTGCACCAAGGTCGCCCTGGGAGGACCTGAGCATCTCAGCATCGTCTACCCACGAAGCGTCTGTGTGCCCTGTAAGGACCACTGGCATGTGTCCTCCAAGCACTAGCCCCATGCCCGATGTACTTGCTAGATAAAGCAAAACCCTTTCAGCGACCGACAGGTGCTGTGGTCGGTGTCTGCATGTGGCCACAAAGCGAGCAAGGATGCTGTGAGGGTATGCGAGATCTGGGCGAGTGCAAGTCATCAGGTACATAAGGCAACCCACTAGCTCTGTGTAAGGACCAGTGGGCTCTACAGACTCCTTAGGGACTGGAGTCGAGAGCGTGTGATCTACTGGCAGCGGTGTGGGCTGTGCGGAGGAGAACTGAAGACCGAACCTTTGAAGGACCTGGTGCACCAAGTCTGACTGTGTGACAGTGATGGTGTGCGCTGCTCTATCCCAGGAGATCTGCAGGAGTGAAGGTAACGACGCAGCTCTCCTAGGCCAGTGCGTCTCTGTCTGTAGTAGCAAAGTGCATGTCGTCTACATAGACAAGGATGTAGAACGAGGTCTGGCCAGTAAGAACGAAGAGCGAGGGGTCTGTAGACGATGGAAAGAACTGCAGTACAGCTAACGTAGCACGAAGCATGTCGTGCCACTAGCGAGGTGCCTGCCGAAGGCCGTAGACCGGGCGCCGAACGAGACACTAGATCCCCGGGGTGAAGGTGCTAGTGAAGTTTGGCGGGCGATATAGGTAGACCTGCTCGTGCAGACTGCCCTGGAGAAACACTGTCGAGAAGTCGAGAGAGTGTAGCTCGTAGTCCCGCTGTGCTGCTACGTGTAACAGCGCCTGAAGAGTTGTCATCTTCGGGGTTGAGGCAAAGGTCTGGAAGAAGTCCACACCCTCGCGCTGACTAAAGCCTCTAGCCACATAGCTCGCCTTGAACACTGGCGGCTCTCCAGGAGGGCGTCTCATCTTGAAGAGCTGCCGGCCATCGACTGCGTTCACCCCAGGTGGGGAAACTGTATCAACGTAGGTGCCTATGGATCTCCAAGATGCCATCTCCTGCTCCATGGCAGCTGTCCACTGAGAGGCTCAGAGTCCCGAGGTCGCCTCAACGTAAGTGCGAGGGGTCGGGATGTCGAAGGCGTCTGGGTCCCCCTCATGGACTAGCAGCATGGAGCGGAGATATGGCGCGGCCTTGGATAGGAAAGCAAGCTCGTACTACCAGTTCTCCAGGACGTCATTGCCAAGGGCAGGAGCACCCCCGACGGACGGAGGACGGGCAGGGTCAGAGACTAGAGCGGTGGCGTAGTCAAGGCGGTGGGTAGAGGCGAAGTCAGCGATAGCAGCGACAAGTGCATCAAAACTCGAGTTGGGAACAGACGGGTCGGGAACAAGGTAGGCAAGGACCCGATGGACAAGAGGACTAGGGGCCGACTCCTCCATCAAGACCATCGACGGGAGGGGAGTGACGTGAGACACACCAGATGGGGCAGGGCGGGGAGGGAGAGGAGCAGGGGCTACCGGAAGGGGTGGGAACCAAAAACAAGGGCGGGGTAACCAGGAGACCTTGGTAGGGAAATCGGTGGTAGAAGGAGACAGACTCGTCAAAAGTGACGTCACACGAGTAGAAGAAGCGGTGAGAAGGCGGGTGGTAGAAGTGCCAGTCAGACGGGTTGAGGGAGAAACCAAGGAAGACACAGGGGACAGGGCGGGCAATGAGCTTGTCCATACCAGAGGCATGAACGTGAGCGAGGCAGCCCCAAACGTGGAACGCAGACGCAACACCAGGGAACCCGCTCCAAAAAAGGGTCGGCAAAACCTGTAGCCGTTGGGAGTGCGGCCAGAGGTTAAGCTGGTGAGCGGCGTAGCGAACAGTGAACGGCCACAGAAAATGGGGTGCACTGGCACACAAGCCACCTCCATGACCAAAGCGATGCATTGCTCAGCGATTCAATTCTGCTGCGGGGAGTCTGGCAGGGTGTACAACTGGGTGATGCCCTCCACACAACAGAACTAGCCAAGTCGACCAGAGGCAAACTCGCCCCACGGTCGGAGTGGAGACGAAGCACGGGGAGGTCGCGGTGGACTCATGCAGCTACCACCCACGAGATAAGAACATCAGGCACGTCGGCCTTCCGCTCTAGGCGAAACACCGTGGTATAGCGCGTGTAGTCGTCGACAAGCACTAGAAAGTAGCACTCGCGACGTGGCCCAAGGACGGGGGCTGGGCCCCAGACATCCAAGTGCAGGGTCTCGAGTGGCGCAGTGGTAGGGGGAAACGAGGAGGAGTGAGGAGCATGGCATAGCTGGCCCTTGATGCAAGACGTACACTGTGGCGTAGGCGAGGGAGGGAGTGCAAGAAGCGACGCAGGGAGACCGAAGACAAGACCGTGATGGGACATGTGACGCAGACGCGGGAGTGCTGGGTGACCTAGGCGGTGCTGCCACTGCAGCGACGGGTGAGTGAGCGACTGACACGAGCCAGCCACAGCGACCTGGGTTGCCGCAGGCACCTTGGGGGACGCTGTATCAAGCATAAACATGCCGGACACAGGGTCCTAAGAAAAAGTGGTCAGAGGGGTACCAGTGGCAGCCTCGGTACAAACCGCGTACCGCTCGTGTCCGGGGAACGCAGTGGTGATGCTTAGATCCTGAAGACAGCTGACACCAACTAGGTTCCTAGAGAACAAGGGGATGTGCAGGCCTGTAAGAGAGCTCAAGGGGACCGCCTGACAGGGGAGGGTAGTGGAGCTACAAGCTACTACCGGACCTGAGGAGGAGTCAGCAAGCGCTACAGCAGCGGGGCCAGCAAGTGGCGTGAGCACAGTGTGGTTGCAAAGGAAACAGCAATCGCTCCAGAGTCGAGCGTAAAGGAGAGCGACACAGTAGCGTTAGCCGGCGGAGAGGCGAGTATAGAGCCTAGGCTCAACAAGGCAGAGGGTCCTACACCTGATGCAGCAAGCGAGCCTAGACTACACACAGAGGACATACCTATGCTAGGCAACACTGGGTAATATGGTCCAATCACACTGAGTCATCAGCATACATGACAGACATGGCAGTCATAATCTGATCCATGTCCAGCTCAAAGACAGGCCCACGGTGGCGAGCCAGAGCGTACCAGTCCGGAGGGTCCACAGTGGGACCGGTGGCAGAAAAGGTCGTCCAGGCGGTGGTAGCAGTGGGCGGCGATGTGATCGGGATGATCCTAGATGGTGCTGTGGCGAGGGTCGGTCTGAAGATGGTACTAACAGGTGACCGCATTGGATCCTCCACCCGACACTGAGCTGCGCCCGTCAAAACCACGACCACCGCCACTAGCGCCGCCTGTCCACCACAGCGACGGGGGTCCACACGGCGACTGCTGCTGCTGCGGCAACTGCTGCGGCTGCTGGGACTGCTACTGCTTGTGCTGCTGCTCCTGCTCCTGCTGCTGCTGCTGCTGCTGAGGCTGCGGCTGCTGCTGCTCCAGGGCACCAGCCTCGGTCCCCTCGTCGGAACCATCTTCCCCGCCCCCACCTCCTCCACCCTCACCACCCCCACCACCCTTCCCTCCACCACACCCCCCCTTGGGACGGCGGCCCCTACCCGGACGCGGCTGCACTGAGGCTGTTGCGGCGGTCTCAGCAACAGCGGCAGAGACGCCAGAATATGTGCATTGGGAGGGAGCACAGCCCTGAAAGATTGGGACCGACGCAATACCGCTAGACTAAGCGATAGTGCGCTGGCGGGTCTCTATTGCGGACAGGGCGGTGACAAAGGCGGTGAGGGTGAGGTCATTGGGGTGCTGACTAAGGAAGTGGTCGCGGGCAGTGACTAGGCGGTCAGGAAGGTGCGTGGCAATGAGGTAAAGTGTAGCGCAAAGCGGCTGCGAGAAGGCAGTGAGTTTAGCCTCACTGCTAGCGGCGTGGTAGCTAGACTTTACTGCGCGGAGGTGAGTGGCAAGATCGGCAACAATGGGGAAGGACGCAAGATCAGGGAATAGCATGGGGAGAATCAAGCGGCCAGCAGGGTTGGAGGCTGGGGTGGAATAGCGCGCGATGACGGCATCTAAGAATTCTTTGGCGCTTGCTATAGTGGTAAAGCGGGGACGCTTAGATAGGGGAAGTGTGTGAGTGATAGCAAGTTGCGCAACTGCATCGCGCAACTCCCAGATAGCGCGAGCAAGTGCAGCAATGGAAAAGGTCGCACGCTCAGCAGTGGTGGGGGTGTCAGGGAGGGCAACAGGCGCAACAGGGCGGGGAAGCAGGCCATCAACATGAACAGCCGGGGAGTGACCGTCCTTGCGCTAACCTGTAAGGTGCCGGCGCAGGTCGACGAACCACGCCTCGAAGTCAATCCCCTGGCCCTCCTCGTCCTGGTGGAGTAGGGAGTCCACCATCACCCCGGCTACATCAGCTGACCGCCGCTGACTGGGAGAGGAGGAAAGGCGAAAGAAGGCAGCTGAGAGCGGTGGAGAGCAGTGGAGTGCGGTGGAGAGTGGTGGAGTATAGTGGAGTGCGGTGGATAGCGGTGGAGAGCACTGGAAAGCAGTGGAGACAGCCGGCAGATGTGCCGGCTCAGAAGGGAGGCAGAGCGGCAGAGAGTTACGGCGGCGCAGCTACTCGGCGGTACAATGGAGCGGTGGCTGGCGGAGCGCAAGGGGCTAGGGGGTCTCGACGGGGCCAGCAGGGCGCTAACGGGGCCAGCAGGGCGAACGGGGCCAGTGCGGCGAATGGGGCCGGTGGGGCGCACAGGGCTAGTGGGGCTCGACGGGGCCAGCAGGGCGCTAACAGGGCCAGCAGGGTGAACGGGGCCAGCGAGGCGTACGGGGCCGGCGGGGCGCACGGGGCTAGCGGTGCTCGACGGGGCTAGCGGGGAATGAACGGGGCTAGCAGGGCGTTAAGGGGCCAGTGGGGCGTACGGGGCCAGCAGGGCGCACGGGGCCAGTGGGGCGCTAAGGGAGCCAGCGGGGCGCTAAGGAGCCAGTGGGGCTCTAAGGGGCCAGCGGGGCGTACGGGGCCAGCGAGGCGGCTAGGACTAGGCCTGAGGCAGAAGTGCGGGTGGGCGGGGGGGACCTAACTAAGCGTGTTACCATATGAAAGTGAGAATGAATAACTAGAATGAGAGATCCAATGTGCTTTTGTGCTAAGGGGTTGTACTCTCTAAGAGTACGCACCTATCTAGCCTATAAGACAAATATATATATATATACATATATATGTGCGTTCTGAAAGGATCCACCATTTCGTGGAAGTTTTGGGCGGCTTTCGGCACGCTAGCACTGCGAACACAATCGTGGCTGTAGTTAATTATCAATTAATATTACCAAGGCGGCGGATATGCAGTAAGCATAGGGCATCAGCCTCCCTAAGTGTTGGTATTGCAGCGGAACTAGAGCGCAAGGCCGAGGATCGTTGGCTCTGATGGCTAGGTGTAATGAAGCGCAAAGAGCGTGAGTCGAAGGATTGAGTAACGAGAATACAATACAACTAAGGCAACATCAAAACAGCGGGGAGCATGGATATAGGTAGCCTAGAGCACACGGTCGTGGCTCGTCAGAGCTGTGCCGTGTGCGGTTCGTAAATTAGCGCGAAGCGCCCAGATCTAGGCATGAAACAGCAAGGCGGGCAAAATCCATGCAGCTCGTCAGGAGGCCACATTTGGGTACCGCGATTTGAATTTCGTGGCAGAGCTGCGTGGCAACCCGGAATAGCAGTGTACGCCTTACTAACTAAAACCCGTTATAAGGAAATACCATTTCTTTACACTGTCATTTTGTAAGGAAATTCCCTTTTCCTTACTGGGCTCGACTACAGCGCATATGCCCGCGACTCTCGGAAGTCCAGGCTTGGCCAGCTTGTTCGGTCCTGAACCATTTCGCGAACCCAAACCTAGACGCGCAGCGCTTCCATGGCTTTCGCCAACCGGACTGCCCCAACCTGTTTGCGTGGTTCTCGGCTAGCTCTGTTCGTGCCTATAAATGCCCAGGCCCTCATTTGTATCGACACTCTTGAATCACGACTCCTTTATCACACTATCTGTTTTTACTCTGATTATAGTAATTCATAACAGCTGGTATCAAAGCTCCGTTCCTGATCGCTTAGTCTTCCGTAGAGTAGTCCGTTTATATCGGGAGAAGACCCAACAGAATAGAGGGTTGGCCTGCGGTTGGTAAGTGATATCGTTAAAGCTCCTCCAACTAAAAGCGTGTGCACCCTCAGATCTGTCAGGTAAAACTTCCAGCATGCCTACCATGCTGGAAACATCTGCCAGCCAGGGCGGTTATAGTGACGACACTGCAGGCCCAGCTTTAACAACTCGCCGATAAGTTCGAGTCGCTGGGAAGCGAAGTGCAGACGCTGCGCAATGAAAACTCGTCGCTTCGCCAGACGCGGGGTGAAATGCGTCAGGGGCGGCCTATTACCCAAGACGAAGATGCTGCGAGCGAAGCGAGGGCATCGGCGATACCTGAAGTCATTGAAGAAGTCCACAGCGAGCCACGGGCGGCCATTAAAATCAAACCTCCAATGCCACCACCGTTCAACCCAACCGACAAGACAACTACAGTGAGCGGGTGGCTGTTCGCCATGGAAATATTCTTCACAGCAGCAAGTATCAATGACAACGCATCACGTGTCAACTTGGTTGTGTCGCTGGCACTCGACTGGTGGTGCATGCATCTAGACAAGGGAGGAGCCCCGGCAGGGAATCAATGGGCGGTAGATGGGGAGCACAGTTCATCAACGGCGAAGGCAGAACCGAACTTTGGGTCGTCCACAATCCGCACGTGGAAAGCGTGGGGCGAAGTGTTGAAGGGCAGATTCGAGCACATATCCATGCGCGAAAATGCTCGCACAAAGTTTCGGATGTGGAGACAGTTGGGCTCTGTCTAAGAATACACTGCGTCGTTTCTGGCAATCTGCGACCAAATCGGAGGGCTTAGCGAAGACGAGCGCATCGATCGCTACGTGGGTGGTCTCAAATCGAAGATTCAGCAAGAGATCGTCCTGCGAGCCCCGGCGACATTCAACGAAATAGTTCGCATGGCAGACGCGCTGGACGCATGACGTGGACTCGCGAGAGTGGGTTTCCAGGAGGGAAATCGCTTTCGAGGCCAGCTCCAACACGCATCAATCAACGGCGTGGACGTGTTTGCAAGAAATGGAGATCGTCAGTAGCAGATGGGCCACCTACTGACTTAACTGCGTCGCCCAAACCCCACCACCCCCACCAGATTATAGTGCCGATTTGGGCTATCGACCATTCCAGGCTGAATAAGGGGGGTGAACCGGTTGATCGCCCTGTGCTGGTTGAAGGAAGAGTTGACGACACCCGCATCAAAGTATTTGTTGGTGGTGGGGCAAGCCACTGTTTGATCGTCTGACGAAGGCGAAAAAATACGATTGCAGCTGGAACACTGCATGCTTGAAATCGACGCGATATTGGTTGACGGCACACAAGTGGCAATTCGGGAGCGGGTACCTCACGTGCGAGTAACATGCGGCGAAAAAATCAGTTTCACGACGAAGATGCTGGCAACAACTTTGGACGGCTGCGACATGCTGCTGGAACGCGATTGGCTGCGCGAATACAACCCGAGCATTGACTGGCGGAGGGGAGGTTGTCGCATCAAATGGAGTGGCGAGTGGCGACGACTACCCAAGTGGAGCTGTCAAGATTCGACCACATCGATGATCAGCGCAGTGACAATTAAGCGAGCCATGATTCGAGGGGTGCAACTGTATGCCGTATGATGGATCGCATCCATGGCTGTCGACACGCCAACCGACATCGACAAACTCTGCGCAGCTGTCCTGGATGATTTGGGGATGGTGATTCGGAAACATGCCGACATTATTCCCGACGACCTACCGGCAGGTTTGCCTCATGAGTGAGAACATGACCACAAAATCGAGCTGGAGCCCGGCGCGCAACCTATTGTTCGGAATCAATGGCGGTTGACTCAGCCCGAGCTGGATGAACTTCGACGCCAGCTGGACTACCTGCTCGAGAAAGGTTTTGTTCGCCCCAGCACCTCACCATTTGCAGCTCCAATACTATTCACCCCGAAGAAAGATGGCGGTCTACGAATGTGTATTGACTACCGCGCCTTGAACCGGGTTACCATCAAGTCTCGCTATCCTATCCCGCGTGCCGACGAACTCATCGACCAACTTTGTGGAGAAAATTTCTTCTCGAGAATTGACCTGCGAGGCGGTCACTACCAAATCCGCGTGAACGAAGCTGACTGCTACAAGACGGCATTTCAGACCCGGTACGCGAGTTACGAGTACACGGTTATGCCTTTTGGCTTAACAAACGCGCCTTCGATGTTCCAGTTAACCATGAACGAGGTTTTTCGGCCGCTGCTAGACAAATGCGTCATCGTGTATCTCAATGACATACTGTGTTACAGCACTACCGGGGAGCAGCATTTGAAGGATTTGACAGCAGTTCTCTCTCTTTTGCATTAGCACCAACTAATCACCAAGGGCTCTAAGTGCGAGTTTCAAAAACACGAACTAGAGCTTTTGGGCCATGTAATTTCCATCGATGGTGTTAAAATCTACCCCAAGAAGATTGTGACCATCCAAGACTGGAAGCCGCCGACTAATCTCCGCGGACGTCAAAGTTTCCTGGGGTTCGAGAATTACGTCCGCCATTTCATTCCGAACATGGCGGGGGTAACCTCCCCTCTTACGGATCTCCTGAAGAAGGGCACGTTTTATGAGTGGGGGGGAGAGCAGCAGGCTGCGTTAGAAAAGCTCAAACTTTTCCTGACTACACCGCCGGTTCTTTGGATTGCATATCCTCACTGTCCATTCGAGCTCATCACCGACGCTAGCGATCTGGGCGTTTGCACAGTCCTGTTACAAGACTTCGGCGAAGGCCTCCAGCCCATCGCCTACGAGTCACGAAAGCTGAACCCGGCCGAGCGAAATTATCCTATCCACGACAAGGAGTTACTCGTCATCGTTCACGCTTTCAAGGTCTGGCGTTGCTAGCTGACGGGTGCTGACGTGACAGTCTGAACATACCACAAGTCGCTACAGTTCATCCGTGCCCAACCGACACTGAATCCCTGACAGATTCGCTGGCTCGACTACCTCGAGTCCAATTTCCACAACAGAGTCACCTACAAACGGGGGGTTAGCAACATCGCCGATGCACTGACCCGTCCTTTAATCCACACCGCCGCTGTCCAAATTACCCAAGCTAATCCGCTGCTAACTGGCCTATTCACCCACGGATATAGTAGTGATCCATTCTTCACCACTAACAGTCATCCCCAACGGACAGACAAGCAAGGGGCCTACTACCTAAAATCCGGTACCAATCGGATTTGGGTTCCCGCCTACCGTACCCTACGGGATTTACTGATCCAGGAGGCACATGACTCCAATTTTTTGGGACACTAGGGTCGACAAAACCGCCAAATTACTGTGCCGTAAATATTACTGGCCCGATTTGCCGACAGACGTGCAGCTGTACGTCACCTCAGCAATCAGCAGCGATCGTCCAACTTCTGGACAAAAACCTGGCAGTAGTATGGCACACGTCTGCATCTGTCCACAGCGTACCACCCGCAATCGGACAGACACACTAAGCGCACCAATCAGATGATGGAGCAGCTGATTTGCACGATGTGCACAGACCCGGCTTAATGCACAGTTGCGTACAACAACAACCCATCGACCACGACTACTCAGTCCCCATTCTTCTTTAATTATAGGATAGATTCGACAACCCCACAATCGCCCCCGATAGAAAATCCGGCACCAAGGTCTCAGCAGCTCGTCGAAAATCTCCGACAATCTCAGAAAAAAGTCGCCGATGCCATCCTCAAAGCTAACCAGAGGGCTAAGCAGCAAGCTGACCGACAACGCCGAGACTTAACACTTGTACATGGGCAATTGGTCCTTCTCGACACTAGAAATTTGGGAATTCCCCTCCCAAATAGATTACGACCAAGATTTTGCGGCCCATTGTGCATCATCCTCATAGTGACACCATTCACCGCCCAACTGCAACTGCCGACCGACTGGCGAATCCATGATTCGTTTCACGCCAGTCTCATGCGACCGTTCATCCTGAGTACAACCGATCTCGACCGTCAACACATCAATTGTGAGAGTACGACCCCGTTACACCACTTGGCCTTTCCTTATTTCCTTCATATTTCACTTCTCTTTTTATCCCATCTCATTTGGTTTCCTATTCTCCATTTTCCATTCACCGTTGGTTTATGCTGCTATTATAATTATATCACCGACCAGGCTTGGGATGTATTGGTGCGCTATATCTAGCGTAATCCTGCCGTAATCCCTTTAAGCCAATAGCCCCGCGTGGCTATACGAAGGGTGATTCTATCTTCTAGAAGGGTCTATTCCCTTAGGATAATATAAACCTGGTTACCTGATGTACTCTGGAAGTATAAAAGCGCCTTGTACTGATCGATAGTGCAACCTTTCCTCGAGTCATTCGATCATGTGACACTTGGTAATCAGAGCTTTTCTCACTCGGCCGCGCTCAACAAAGCAGCAGCAGCGGGAAAACCTGCCTCGAAAAACCGCCGGGGGCGACCAATTCGACGCCGATTCTGGTAAGCACCAGCTCCGCGTTTTTTCGAATCACCCCCCCCCCCCTGCGCGTGTTTTGAACAGGATGGCAACCTTCGACAACGCCGAGGTTACCCAGCAGCTCTTCGCGCGCATCGCAGCCCTTCAGGAGGAGATGCGAGCGGATCGCGAAGCGTGGCGAAGCGAGTTCGAGCGAGTAACTCGACTCGCCGGAGCGCAGCACGACTCGACAACGGTGACGACGCAGTAGTCGCAGCAGTTTCTCGAGGCTCCGAAACCGCGCCCACCTGAGCCGTTCGATCCGAGCGATCGAAACTCCAACGCCCGCAGATGGATCGCCGGGATGGAGATCTACTTCGCAGCCGTCGGATGGAGATCGCCAGTCTGGAACGGTCAACGTGTACGACTCGCGGCGACACTGATGCGAGGGCCGGCACTCGAGTGGATTGATGGCAACAGCACCTTCATCCACGGTGAAGCCACGTGGCAGCAGTTCCGCACCGACCTGCTGAAACGTTTCGAGCCGATAAATTCGGGTTTCCTTGCCCAGGAAAAAATTCATCGCCATCGACAATTCGGTAGTGTAGCGCAGTACACGCAGCAGATGGAGGAATTTTATAACCGAATTCCCGAGCTGACCGAAGGGGAAAAAGTACAGTCGTACCTCGCCGGGCTGAAGACCGAAGTCAAACGACAAGTGGCAGCGTCAAACTACGTGAGCTACAGTGACGTCGTTTCGGCAGCGGAGCGCTTTGACATGGTCAACGCCGGGACACGACGGACGCACATCGGCAGTACGCGACAGGGCGACCGCTCGGCTCACCCCACGTTTGCCGACCCGATGGAAGTCGATAGGTTCGAGGGGCGGCCACATCCGAAAAACACCGACTACACGTGTGATTTTTGCGGGGTGCCGGGTCATCGAATCTTCGACTGCAACAAAATGAAAACCGCACGCAGCAGTAGCAGAATTCCTTCGGCCAATCAGAAGACAAAAAACGGGAGTCGCCAGTGATTGCGGATCTAGCTGGCGAAAATAAAAAGATCCGGAAGCGGCCGCGCGATTCTGGGAAAATCAACTTCGACGAAGCTAATTCGACGCGAGGAGGAAATGATGGGGGAAAATCTCCACCCCACGACCAGTCTTCGCCAGGGAAAATCGCCGAGGAAAAATTCGACTCCGCGAAAAAGACTCTGCCAAGACAGGGAAACTCCTTGAAGACCCAAGAAATTATAAGGATTCGTTAAAGTTATCTTATAAAGATGCTTTAATGAAAACTTATGATTTTCGAGGGGCTAGAGCCTTGGAGAAATTTCGGGAGGGACTCCAAAAGAAGCAGACAGCTGTGGAGATTATACCGGTACCGGACAACTTGGGGAAAAATTAAGGAGTGTGGAAAGAAGCCGACCTTTCCACGGAGTCAACGTCCTCTCCCGACACCAGCCCACAACGACTACCCGTTCCGTAGGGAAGACGTCGGTGGAGCTGAAGCAGCTCAAGAGGAAGCTGGGGGTCTACAAGAAGCTGCACAAACCGGATGCATAGAGTTCTTCGGCATCAGTGACGCGCACAGTCGTCAAGGAAACTCCGGGCCCTGGAGAAGAACCGTTCTCCAAGCAGCCTCGGCCAGGTGCCAGCTCAGGAGTAGATAGCAACACAAAGGTGTCTACGGAATATTGGGATGTACCCTATGACCCAATCAATGAAACCATTTTTGGGTACTCCGAGCAACGCCTGCCCCTCGTGCTCGAGGTCATCTGCAAAGGACGACGCCTCCAAGCACTCCTGGACAGCGGAGCATCACACACCGTCTGCGACAAGGCAGTAATCGACCGACTTCGGGAAGAGTACAAGCCTTCAGGATTCTCTGCAACGATGGTGGACGGCAGCAAGTTACCAGTACACTACGAAGCAGTGCTACACCTACAAATCAGACCACTGCGCTGGAGACCTGCACTCCCCATCACCAACATCAAAGGGCTTGACTTGATCTTCAGGTGAGACTTCCTAAAAAGATTCAACCCCGAGATCAACTGGGTGAACCGCACCGCAAGCATCTACAACAATGGACGGAGAGTACAGCTACCCAACTGGGACGATACATGAGATATCCCAGTGGAGACACTCGCACGATTCGAGAAGGACGTGAAGCGAACCGACACCGGGTTCCTGGCGATAGCAACAAAGGTGGAGAACGACAGGGAGAAGACCTCGGAACCTTTAGGAAAGATCAAGGAATTATTGAAGGAGTTCCAAGACATTCTTCCGGACGATCTTCCGAACGAGCTACCGCCATACCGAACGCATCAACACGAGATCGTGGAGGAACCGTGTTCGAAGCTGACCTTCCAAGCACCATATCGGCTCAGCCCTACGGAGCTGACCAACATGAAAAAACAGATCAAGTATCTCCTAGCCAAAGGACTCATCCGACCATCCACTTCGCCATACGGTGCCCCAGTACTCTTCACATCGAAACCGGACGGAAGCCTGTGCATGTGCATCGACTACCGAGCTCTTAACAAGCAGACCATCAAGAATAAATATCCAATACCACGAATCGATTACCTGCTTGACCAGCTTCGGGAAGCTACGGTATTTTCCAAACTGGATCTGCGGTCCGGATACTGGCAGATACGAATGGCGGACAACTCTATCCACAAAACTGCTTTCCGAACTCGGTATGGATCGTACGAGTATTTGGTAATGCCGTTCGGACTCACCAACGCACCGGCAACGTTCCAAGCCGAAATGAACCACATTCTACAACCACTTTTGGATGAGTGCGTGGTGGTGTACCAGGACGACATCCTCATCTACTCGCGCGACATGAAGCAGCACATCGAACACCTGCGACGCGTCTTCGAGATTCTTCGACAAGAACGATCCTACGTCAAACTGTCCAAGAGCGAATTCGCCCTTGAGAAGGTCCAGTTCCTAGGACACATGGTGAGTGCTCAAGGAGTTCACGTCGACCCCAAGAAAATCGAAGCCGTACGTACGTGGAAGACACCCGAGAATGTGAAGGAGTTGCAGCAGTTCCTAGGCTTCGCTAATTACTACAACAGGTTCGTGCCACAGTATGCGAATCTCGTAGCACGACTCACGAATCTGCTGAAGAAGAACACACCCTACAAATGGGAGCCGAAGCACCAGGAAGCCGTGGAGCAGCTGAAACAAGCACTCACGTCCGCACCAGTACTCATCTTGCCAGATCCCGAACGCGACTACGTAATAGAAGCTGACGCCAGCAACCAGGCAGTGGGAGCAGTCTTAATGCAAGATCAAGGGAATGGACTGCAACCAGTCGCCTACCTGAGTAAGAAACTACACGGGGCAGAACTCAACTACCCGATACACGACAAGGAGGCCCTGGCTATCATCATCGCCTTCAAAGCGTGGAGATATTATCTCGAAGGACGAAGAACAACTCTCTACACCGACCACTGCAGCCTGAAATACTTGAAGACACAACCCAACCTTTCCAGGAGGCAGGTCCGGTGGATCGACTTCCTCGAGACACACTTCCACTACGACATCGTGTACAAGCCCGGCCACAAAAACAAAGCAGACGCTCTCAGCCGGCCTGCACACGTTGCCGCTATTCAGATCGAAGGGATGAATCCACTACTCAAGGGACTCTTCACACATGGATACGCCATCGACCCCGAAATTCCCTTGGCAGAAAAGCGACATCTGCTACAGTGGGACAGTGACATCGCGTACCGGAAAGGATCAACAAAAATCTGGGTACCCAATTACCCTCCTTTCCGCCAGTTACTACTCGAAGAATACCACGACGTCCTCTACGCCGGACACTTTGGTAGCAACAAGACGCTGACCGGTATTGCGAAGCACTACTACTGGCCCCACTTGGCAGAAGATGTCCATGAAGAGCAGCAAACAAAGGAAAGCGGGACTGCTAGAGCCTCTTCCTGTCCCAGAACAGCCATGGCAAGTGGTTAGCCTGGATTTCATCACCGGGTTACCACCTACCACCAGCGGTCATGACGCAATCCTTGTCGTTATGGACAAATTCTCCAAGATGGGACACTTCATCCCGACACACACGACGGCACGCACCGAGGAGACAGCACAACTCTTCGTTCGATACATCATCTCACAGCATGGCATTCCAACCAGACTCATCTCCGACCGGGACCCCAAGTTCACCAGCAAGTTCTGGAAGGAACTTAAGTCTCTACTCGGGACCAAATTCGCCATGTCATCCGCTTACCATCCGCAGACAGACGGACAGACCGAGTGTCTCAACCAGATTGTTGAGCAACTCCTCTGAGTAGCTTGCAAGGATGACCTTTCCAAATGGGACTTGCACCTGCCCGTTCTAGAGTTTGCTTACAACAACGCTACGCATGCCGCTACTGGGCAGACGCCGTTCTTCCTCTGCTACGAACGCCACCCACTCACACCACAAAAACCGACAGCATCAGCTACAGTCCTGCCTGCACATGATTTCATTACAACCATGCATCAGCTTTGGGATCGGACCCACAAGCGCCTCTTCGACATTCAACAGCAACAGAAGCGCCAGGCCGATCGCCATCGCAACGACCACACCATTACCGTGGGAGACGAGGTGCTCCTTGACACCCGCAACCTTGACATCAGCCATCTCCCATCTAAACTTCGACCTCGCTTCTGCGGGCCTTTTCTCGTTGAAGCACAGGTCACTCCTGTTACCTTCCGCTTACGCCTGCCAGCTACCTGGAAGATTCACAACGCCTTCCATGTCCAGCTTCTGAAGCCCTATTGGGATCCGAACACGATCTTCGTCGGACGCCAACCGCCGCCGCCACCGCCAGTCCTCGTCCAGAATGAACCCGAGTACGAGGTCGAGTTCGTGCTTGCACACCGCCGTCGTCGGAATGGCACCGTGGAGCTTCTCATCCGTTGGAAGGGTTATGATCCTTCTGAGGACAGCTGGGTACCTGGGACCGACATGGGTAACGCCCGTCGTCCTCTGCATGACTACCTTGTCAAGTAGGGTGTTACTTCTACCACCCAGCTTTGAGGGGGGGAAGTGTGAGAGTACGACCCCGTTACACCACTTGGCCTTTCCTTATTTCCTTCCTATTTCACTTCTCTTTTTATCCCATCTCATTTGGTTTCCTATTCTCCATTTTCCATTCACCTTTGGTTTATGCTGCTATTATAATTATATCACCGACCAGGCTTGGGATGTATTGGTGCGCTATATCTAGCGAAATCCTGCCGTAATCCCTTTAAGCCAATAGCCTCGCGTGGCTATACGTAGGGTGATTCTATCTTCTAGAAGGGTCTATTCCCTTAGGATAAGATAAACCTGGTTACCTGATGTACTCTGGAAGTATAAAAGCGCCTTGTACTGATCGATAGTGCAACATTTCCTCGAGTCATTCGATCCTGTAACATAAATCCTACGGTCAACCTAGTACCTAAGCCAACGATCAAGCCGTCTAAGATTCTCGCTCATCGCGTACAATCCCATCGAGATACAGCAGCCGTTGATTTCCTTGTACGATGGGTCGATCGCACGACTGACGACGACCTTTGGGTCCCCGCAGCTTTGCTCGGCGAACACAAAATGTACGGGACTATTGTCAACTTATACATATTATCTATGTAGAAGTTATAGGCTAGACTGAGGTATGCTTCTAGTGAGTACAACCAACTAGTATTTGTTCTAGGTTTCCACCTCTAGTAATCATTTCGTTTTCTACGTTAACATGGTATCACGCTTAGGTTAGGATCCCCCCTTCCTAGCGCCGCCCGGCCTCTCCTCAGCGCTGCCCGGCCCCTCCTCGTGCCCGACCGGCCCCAGCAGCACCAGCCTGGCCCCTCCCAGCACCAGCCCGGCCCTAGAGCACCTGCCCGCCTCCCCTGCTCGGCCTGCCGTGTCCTCTCGGGCCCTGTGTCTTCTGCTTGCCTGCGCTGGGACGCCTAGCTGCTGCCCTACTGGAGAGTGCTGCCGCCGTGTCCCCGCGCCGCTGTGCTCCTGTGCCGCTGAGGAGCTGTGCTGCTGTGCCGCTGTGTCGCTGAGGAGCTGTGCCGCTGACCCTGCACGATGGCTGACTTTGTGCTCCGCCTGGACGCTGAGGGCCACGCGGTTGACTTCGCCGCCTGGCTCTCCGATCTTCGCCGCCAGCTTACAGGTCAGCGCCAGGATGGCCACTCTCTGGTTGTCCATGCTGATGGCTTGCTCCCCCGTCCCCCTGCACCTACTCCCCTCCCTGCTGACCCCTCCTCTGATGACCGTGAGGCTTTCTCTACTGCTGCGCTAGCCTGTGCGGTCTGGGACTCACGCGATGCAGTAGCTCAGGTTGCTATTAGTCACGCCCTCCCTGTGTCTGAGCGCTCGCGTTTTGCTACTGTTGAAACGGCCAAAGCTTATTTAGACGCCGTTATTGCTCGCTATTCCACCCCTGCCTCCGCTTCTGCTGGCCGCTTGCTCTTTCCGATGCTGTTCCCAGACCTGGCTGCCTTCCCTACTGTCGCAGATTTTGCCACTCATTTGCGTGCCCTAGAGACTCGCTATCGCACTGCCAGCACTGCTGCCCAGCTCACTGCGCTCCCCCCTCCTTTCTGCATGACGCTCTATTTTATCGCTATGCGCCTGCCAGACCGCCTCGCTAGTGCTCGCGACCACTTTCTTAGCCAGCACCCGGGTGACCTCACCCTGACCGCCTTTGTCGACACCCTCACTGAGATCGAGACTCGCCAGCGCACTATCGCTCAGTCGAGCGGTGCGCCGGCAGTCTCTATCTTTCACGGTTGTGCCCCATCCCCGTGCACGTTCACTGACGTTTCGGCTGCGGTCGCCACGGCGACCCCTCTTACCGAGACGGCTGCTGCTGTCCACCCGCAGCAGCGCTCGCGTCGCGGTGGCCGTGGCCGCCAGGGAGGTAGGGGTGGTGACGCAGGTGGTAGTGGTCGTGGTGGTGGTGACGGTAGTCCGCCTGAGGGGACTACCACCGGTGGGCAGGAGCAGCAGTCCCAGCAGCAGCAGGACCAGCCCCAGCCGCAGCCGCCGTCCCAGCAGCACCCGCCGCAGCCGTGGGCTCGTCTCCCGCCTGGTTGGCCCGGCACCTCCGGAGGCGGTGGCCGTGGTGGCGGCCCGCGCAGCTTGGCGTCTACCAGCGGCTCCAGTGCTGTGACCTGCCAGTACCAGCTTCAGACCGGGCCTCTCCGCGGCACTCTGTGCCGCCGCCCGCACCCGACCGCCCACTGTTTCCGCCGCCTCGACGATCTTTTTCGTCGTCGCTTTGGCCCGGCCCCGGACCTCCCTGACTGGCACAGCCTGCTCCGCCAGGGCGTGCCGATCTTTGAGTTAGACATGGATCAGATAGGTGCTGCTTTGCATGCTTTGTATGCTGACGCTTCTAGTGTTGATGGATCTTACTACCATGTGTACTCTAGTTTAGGTGTTTCACCCTTGTGTAGCTTAGCTTCCCCTGCTGCGACAGGCGTAGGACTGGCTAGGTTGCCTAGTCTAGTCGCTCCACCGGCTCCGTCCGCGGCCTCCGCCACTGCGTCGCTGTCCTTCACTCTCGACTCTGGTGCTTCTGCCTGCTTCTTCCGCGACCGTTCCACGCTCACGCCGCTTGCTGCACCTGCTGTTGTCTCTCTCGCTGACCCCTCTGCGGGTCCGGTCGTCGCGCGCAGTTCTACGTCCCTTCCCTGTCCGGCAGTTCCCTCGGGCTCCCTTACTGGCCTCCACGTTCCCTCGTTCTCCAGGAACCTGGTTGGTGTCGGCTGTCTCCAGGACCTCGGCGTCACCACCACGTTCCCCGGGCACGAGCGGTTCGCTGTCTGTTCTGAGGCTGTCTCAGGTTCCCCCCTTGCGACGTTCCCCCGGGACCCGGTGTCCGGTCTGTTTACCCTACACACCGCTTCCCCCCCGGTTGGTGCGTCCTCCCAGGTCGCTGCAGCTTGCTCGTGTCGGTCCCTCACTCACCCCTCCCTTCTCTGGCACCACCGCTTAGGTCACCCTGCTCTCCCGCGTCTGCGTCACATGTCCCAGCACGGTCTTGTCTTAGGTCTCCCCGCGTCGCTCCCTGCCCTTCCTCCCTCGACTGCGCCACCGTGCACGCCTTGCGTCGAGGGTCGGCTCCGCCGTGCTCCTCACTCCTCCTCGCTGCGTCCTGCTACTGCCCCCCTTCAGACCCTGCACTTGGACGTTTGGGGCCCTGCCCCCGTCCCCGGACCGCGCGGTGAGCGCTACTTCCTTGTGCTCGTTGACGACTACACACGCTACACCACGGTGTTTCCCCTGGAGCGGAAGGCCGACGTGCCCGACGTTCTTCTCCCGTGGGTTGTAGCTGCGCGTCTCCACCGCGGTCTCCCCGTGTTGTGTCTCCACTCCGACCGTGGCGGCGAGTTCGCCTCTGGTCGGCTTGGACAGTTCTGTCGTGCGGAGGGCATCACCCAGTCGTACACGTTGCCGGACTCGCCACAGCAGAATGGGGTTGCTGAGCGCCGCATCGGCTTGGTCATGGAGGTCGCCCGTACCTCCATGATCCATGCCGATGCCCCCCATTTTCTGTGGCCGTTCGCTGTTCGCTACGCGGCTCACCAGCTTAACCTGTGGCCACGCTCCCAGCGGCCGCAGGTTTCGCCGACCCTCCTTTGGACCGGGTCCCCCGGTGACGCGTCTGCGTTCCACGTCTGGGGCTGCCTTGCTCACGTTCGTGCCTCTGGCACGGACAAGCTCACTGCCCGCACTGTCCCCTGTGTCTTCCTCGGTTTCCCCCTGGACTCGTCTGACTGGCTTTTCTACCACCCGCCGTCTCACCGCTTCCTCCACTCTCGTGACGTCACCTTTGACGAGTCCGTCTCCTTCTACCGCCGCTTCCCTCACCGAGGTCTGCCAGTTGCCCCCCCCCTTTTCCTTGCTCCCTCTCCCCCGGTAGCCCCTGCCCCTCTCCCGCCTCGTCCTGCCCCGTCTGGTGTCTCCCACGTCACTCCCCTCCCGTCGGTTGTCCCCGTTGAGGAGTCTGCTGACTCTGGTGGTACCCCCGGTCCGTCCTTGCCGCGTCCCCCTTCCCCAGTGCCTCCGCCCCCACTGTCGCAGTCGCCGACCCCGCTGCCGCCGCCGTCGCCGTCGCCGCCGCAGCCGTCGCCGCTGTCGCCGCCACTGCCGCCGCTGCTCTCGGCCCCTGGGGGTGCTGGTGTGGAGGAGGGTGTTCGTCCTGCGGCTTCTGGGGGTGCCGCTGGTGTTGGAGGGGGTTCTCGCTCTTGGGGTGTTGGTTCTGGGGGTGCTGCTGTTGAGTGTTCTGCCGACGGTCGTTCTGCCTCTGCTGGTCCGAGAGTTCCGGCCCAGCCGTCGTCGCCGCCACAGCAGCCGTCGCCGCCGGTTTCCGCTCTCCGCCTGCTCGGCCTTCCCTCCCCGGACCGCGCGCCGGTGTCTCCCCCACAGCCTCCTGACCTCCCTGTCTACGGTCCTGTGTTCCCGCCGCCAGACTCGTCTCCGGCCCGTCTTCCTCCTCGTTCCCCTCCTGTGTCTCCTCCGCTGTCCCCTGACCCTACCCCTCCGTCTCACGTTTGGGCTCGCCGTCCCTCCCGTGCTCGTCCCGTCTCTCCTGTCCTGCCCACCCACCCTATGTTGCTCCGTTCCCACTCGTCTCGTCCTCCCCTCCTCCCGTCCCCTCCTCCCTCGTCCCTTGCTGTTGCACCTCCTCCGTTCTCTGACTACCTCCGTGCTGCTCGTCCCCTTGTCCCTCGGGTCCTTGCCTCTCTTGTTACCGACCCTGCTGTTCCTGTCTCGCGCCTTGCCGCGCTTGTCGCTGCTGTCGCTGACTTCGCTTCTACCCGCCGCCTTGACTACGCTACCGCTCTGGTCTCTGACCCTGCCCGTCCTCTGTCCGTCGGGGGTGCTCCTGCCCTTGGCAGTGACGTCCTAGAGGACAGGCAGTACGAGCTGGCTTTCCTTTCCGAGGCTGCTCCCCATCTCTGCTCCATGCTGTTAGTCCCTGAGGGTGACCCAGACGCCTTCGACATCCCGACCCCTCGCACCTACGCTGAGGCCACCTCGGGACCTTGGGCCTCTCAGTGGATAGCTGCCATGGAGCAGGAGATGGCATCTTGGAGATCCACCGGCACTTACGTCGACGCAGTTCCCCCGCCTGGGGTGAACGTAGTCGATGGTCGGTGGCTCTTCAAGGTGAAGCGCCCCCCTGGAGAGCCGCCTGTCTTCAAGGCGCGCTACGTGGCCAGAGGTTTCAGTCAGCGCGAGGGGGTTGACTTCTTCCAGACCTTCGCCCCGACCCCGAAGATGACCACTCTTCGGGCGCTGCTACACGTAGCAGCACAGCGTGACTACGAGCTTCACTCTCTCGACTTCTCTACTGCCTTTCTTCAGGGCAGCCTACACGAGCAGGTCTACCTGCGCCGATCACAGGGCTTCACTGGTACCTTCCCTCCTGGGACCCAGTGGTTTCTCAGGCGCCCGGTCTACGGCCTGCGTCAGGCTCCCCGCGAGTGGCACGACACGCTACGTGCCACGTTAGCAGACCTGCAGTTCTTTCCGTCCTCTGCTGACCCTTCACTGTTTGTGCGTTCCGGCCAGACTCCGTTCTACATCCTTGTCTACGTAGACGACCTGGTCTTCGCTACTCCTGACAGGGACGCACTGGCCTCTGTGAAGGCTGAGCTGCTGAAGAGACACACCTGCACTGACCTTGGAGAGCTGCGTCGCTATCTTGGCCTGCAGATCTCTAGGGACAGAGCAGCACGCACCATCACTCTGACCCAGTCACACTTGGTGCGTCAGGTCCTTCAGAGGTTCGGTCTTCAGTTCTCCTCCGCACAGCCCACACCTCTACCCGTAGACCATGGGCTCTCTGCTCCCGTTCCTGAGGAGCCAGTAGAGCCCAGTGGCCCCTACGCAGAGCTGGTGGGTTGCCTCATGTACCTGATGACTTGCACTCGCCCAGATCTCGCATACCCTCTCAGCATCCTGGCTCGCTTTGTGGCTACAGGCAGACACCGACCTCAGCACTGGTCTGCCGCTAAGAGGGTTTTGCGTTATCTTGCTAGTACATCAGGCATGGGGTTAGTGCTAGGAGGACGCAGGCCAGTGGTCCTTACTGGGCACACAGACGCTTCTTGGGCAGACGACGCTGAGACGCTCAGGTCGTCGCAGGGCTACTGTTTCAGCCTTGGTTCGGGTGCTATCTCTTGGAGATCCACTCGCTCGTCGTCTGTGGCTCAGTCTAGCTGTGAGGCTGAGATCTACGCTGGTGCCATGGCGGCACAGGAGCTCCGCTGGCTGACCTTCTTGCTCACAGACTTAGGTGAGCGGCCTAGCTCTGCCCCGGTCCTGTACGCTGACAACAGGGCGATGATACTCCTGTGTCAGGAGCCTCGGCTTGAGGGCAGAGCGAAGCATATCCAGCTGCGGTACTTCCTCCTGCGCGAGCTACAGCAGCGCCGCCAGGCCCGCGTAGTTCACTTGGCCTCAGGTGCCAACACAGCTGATATCTTTACTAAGGCGCTTGCGCCTAAAGATCATCAGCGGCACTGTGTACAGCTTGGTCTTGTTCCTATAGCTGCTCCCCTGTTAGGATCCTGATTGTGTACTCTCTATTATATATGCTTGTCAGACTGGCCTTGTGGCCTTACCTCCAGTGGCTGGACTAGTAGTGCCACCCTGGCTTGCTTCAGTTTTGGTTGTATTCTTGCTGACTGGTCTCCAGACCCCTGCCTCAGTGGTTGGACTAGTAGTGCCGCCCTGAGCTGTTTGCTTCTTGTTTAGTTTCACCCCTTGTCTAGCCTAGGGGGTGTGTCAACTTATACATATTATCTATGTAGAAGTTATAGGCTAGACTGAGGTATGCTTCTAGTGAGTACAACCAACTAGTATTTGTTCTAGGTTTCCACCTCTAGTAATCATTTCGTTTTCTACGTTAACAACTATTTACACCGACGACGTGTCCCAGCTGTGGGTAGTCTCATCCCGGAAGGGGGGGTGGTGTAAGGAAATTCCCTTTTCCTTACTGGGCTCGACTACAGTGCGTACGCCCTCGACTCTCGGAAGTCCAAGCTTGGCCAACGTCTTTAGTCCCGAACCATTTCACGAACCCAAACTTAAACGCGCAGCGCTTCCGTGGCTTTCGCCAACCGGACCGCCCCAACCTGTTCGCGTGGTTCTCGACTAGCTCTGTTTGTGCCTATAAATGCCCAGGCCCTCATTTGTATCAACACTCGAATCAAGATTCCTTTATTCCACTACCTGTTATTACTCTGATTAATTCATAACACATTTATCCCGCTGTAGGCATTCAACTGTACTCAACCACCACTGGTAACGGAAGACACGAGTCAATTGAGTTCGTCAGCGAGATTGAAGAAATCGTCATTTCGTGGAGACAGCTGGGGTAACCACCTTTCCCAAACCTCATGCTTGTGGTGACATCGCAGATTTCAGTTTACCACGCAGCGCGCTTGGCCTTGTTTTGGCGGGAGCCAGCACCACGCCGAACCCGAGCCTCAATCTGAGACCGTACCTCGAACCCAGGCCGCAGGCTGGGAAGCTGATCTGACTGACGGCTTGGTTCTGTGTGGCCGTTGGTCATGAATTCACAGGTCGCGCTTCTTTTCCTGTCCACTTTTGAGCATCTCGTGGAACTCTGACCTGGCCAGGCACTAGGCCCGAATGATCGGTTGGACACTGGGGTCGCCGGATTTGTCGGTCATCAAATCGCAACCGTCCGCGCTGCCCAAATGCGGCACGGCTGACCAGTCCAAACGGCCCAAATTGAGCCCAAGCCAAATTCAATTTACCCCTGTGTGAGGGAGTGTTTAGCGCGTTCTTTTACAGTCAGTTGGCGTGACAGGTACAGAATTGAGGTGAGGTAACTCGAAATTCCGTGTCTTTTAGGATACGCTCGAAAGTGCACGTTCTTAGCGGACGCTCTCAAAGCGTGCCAGCAGCCGTGTTGCGCATGTTTCAAAAGCGGCTGGAAATCGTGCCCGAAATGAACCCCCGCCAGAAACGGCAAAACCTGTCTGGCGACATTTCGAGAAGATTCGTCATTTCGAGAAGATTCGTCAATGCCATGGCAAAAACAGGGAGGCCCCGTTTTCCAGGCTCGTAATATCGTAACTCTATTTATTTTGCCAAGATATTTTGTTTTTCGCTGCGCAGAGCATTCGTCGTGTCAAAGGCTGGACACAAGGCCGAGCCAAGCATGCTCTCCGCAGTCAAAAAGTGAGCCTCACGACATCTACATTCCCCGTAACAGTGTTTCGAGCATGTACAGAGGACGTAAAAGTGCGAGTTAGGGCATAATGAACGCGCTGGACACGCCCTCAGGGGAGCAGAACAGCAGTGCAGGCCCCCGCTCGAGCCGAATGTTACCCGCCCTCATTCCCAGAGCGCAGCATCATCAGCAGCAGCAGCAGTGCTCTGAGCAAAGCACCCTGCCTCAACCTCCACCCCCGTCCCCGCCCTCCCAAACCGTCTCTGCGTTCGCACATTCCTGACCTGATCCTCCCGCACTATTCCTCGCCTCGCCTGCACGCCTCGCCTCGACTTGGCCCAAACCCGATTCTGCTCCTCACTTCCCAAAACTCTCGTGGCTGTCGTTTGTCTGATGGGTAACACAGGCTGGCTGCTCATTCCCTCGCATTGAGACGTTCCGAGTAGCTTGATTGGAATTCAGGTTCAGGAAGCTCGGCCTTGCAAGTCCCGCTAGTTAATTTCTTCACTTACTATACTTCCCGACTTCAGCAGACTAATTTCCTCTGAACCCTAACCTTCCCTTCTACAAAGCGACTGCTTTTTTTTTATCCATCCATTTCTCACGCTGACGCGCTCTGGTTTCGTAAGGCCAGCAGCCGCAGCACCAGTCTCTCCCGGCGGCAGCGGCCGCAGCAGAAAGCCATGCCACGGAGCTCCGCATCCGTGTCCCCTCAAGAACACCACGACCCCGCAGCATCCCCAGCTAGCAATAGCGCAGTCCTCATGGCAGCAGATGCCGACGCCGCCGCCGCGTCCCCGTACGGCGAGGATCCGCGCAAGGCAGCAGCGGCAGCCATGGCCATGACCTCCCCGTGCCCGCTCCTCCAAGGCGCGAAACCCGCCGCCGTGCCGTCAGTCTTCTGCTTCCACTCGATCTGCTATTCCGTGAATCAAGGCCGGAAGAAGTCGCTCTTCAGCCGCTGCATCGAGCCGTGCGTCGGGCTCGCCGCGAAGCGCAAATCGACGCAGTTCACGTCGATCAGCGACGACGAGGCCAAGGCCGCCGCGCCGCCCAAGTTCCGCGTCATCCTGAACGAAATCTCGGGTTTCGCACGGTCCGGAGAGGTGCTCGCGATCATGGGGTCGAGCGGGTGCGGCAAGACGACGCTTCTGGACGTTCTCTCGCACCGGATTGCGTCCGCGGCGGCTTCGGCGGGGCCGCTGGCGGGGGGCCGGACGGGGTACATTGAGCTGGGCGACAAGCCGACGACGGATGACCTCATGCGACGCATCTCGGCGTACGTGATGCAGGACGACCTCATGTACGCGACGCTGACGGCGCGCGAGACACTCATGTTCTCGGCGGAGATGAACCTGCCGCGGAGCTTCTCGTACAAGGAGAAGCAGGAGCGCGTGGAGCGGCTGCTGGAGCTGCTGAGCCTGCAGCACGCGGCCAACACGCTCATCGGGAACGAGAACCTTAGGTAACTACGAGCTTTGAGACGCGCCTCTAAGCTAGGTGACGGGTAATTATCGCGCTGCTGAACCTGCAGCACGCGGCGAAAACGCCCATCGGTCGAGAAAGCAAGGAGTTGAGCATGGGTGGCTACGCTGCTTCGATTTCCGAGGTCGTTGATAGCGCCAATCAGGCGAGGCTGCATGAGGTTCGGGTGCGAGGTGTTAGGCTGCATGGACCGAGAAGCAGGGCGTGGCCCAATCCATAGTCCACTGATATAAGGCGGCGGAAGTGCCCGACGATGAGAGGGTCTTAGGCTGGACCCCTCGCGTTGATCCGCGTCCTGCGATTTCACATGTTTCCCATATGCGCCCGCGCGACCGTAGCAGCACCCGCCCACCCGCGCGGAACGGTGCCAGCCTCCTCCGTGGCTTGCGGTGCAGCCATTGTCGGGATAGAACGCCGTCTGCTGCTAGAACGCGGCAGGCAGGAATGCCTTCTCCTCCCCGTCCCCTTCCCATCTTCCTCTCCCCTCATCCCCCCGTCCCCCTGTATCTCCCCCCCACACCCACCCGCCCCCTCCTCTTCTTCTCCAGAGGCGTGTCGGGCGGCGAGCGCAAGCGCGTGGCGATCGGCGCGCACATCGTGCACGACCCCAAGATCCTCTTCCTGGACGAGCCCACCTCCGGCCTCGATTCGTCCAACGCGTATCGCGTGGTGAAGATCCTCAAGGACATCGCCATAACCTCGGAGAGCATCGTCATCATGGTGATCCACCAGCCGTCGTTCCGCGTCCTGGAGCAGATCGACCAGCTGCTGCTGCTGTCGACGGGCAACATGATCTTCTTCGGCCCGCCGCCGCACCTCCCGGCGTTCTTCGACGCGTTCGGGACGCCCGTGCCGAAATTCGCGAACCCGACGGAGTTCGCGCTGGAGCTGTTGGAGCAGTTGAAGAGCACGTCCGAGGCCGCGCTTATGGAGCTCGTCGCCTTCGCCGCGGACTGGCACCGCAGCCGCGACCACATGGCGCACGCCAAGACGGGCCGCCACGCGAAGCCCGCGCTGCTGTCCGCGGGACCCGACGGCGAGGGCGGGGAGGCGGAGATGAATGGCGGCGGTGGAGGCGGGGGGGGGCACGGGCGGAAGAGCGCGGAGGGCGGGAGAAGGTTCTGCGGGAAGCTGGCGAAGATGGGGAAGGGGGCGGGCGGGCAGGAGGAGGATGCGGTGGAGTCGGGGCATAAGGGGACGCACCGGTACGCCAACTCGTGGTTCCGCGAGTTCTCCATCCTGTTCGTGCGGTCGGGGCTGATGATCGTGCGCAACCCGCTGCTCTACTTCCTGCGCCTCATGCTGCTCACCGTCGCGGGGTTCCTCCTCGCCTCGCTCTTCTACAAACCCAGCCACGAGTACGACCCGACCCTCGCCGTGCCCGGCCTTGCCCGACCGACGTTTTCTGACCCTCGCCCCGAAATCCTCGTCGTCCTCCTCCTCCCCCTCCTCCTCCTCCTCCTCCTCCTCCTCCTCCTCCTCCTCCTCCTCCTCCCCCTCCTCCTCCCCCTCCCCCTCCCCCTCCTCCTCCTCCTCCTCCTCCTCCTCCTCCTCCTCCTCCTCCTCCTCCTCCTCCTCCTCCTCCTCCTCCTCCCCCTCCTCCTCCTCCTCCTCCCCTCCTCCTCCTCCTCCTCCTCCTCCTCCTCCTCCTCCTCCTTGTTCGTTTCCCCCAGCTGGTTTCTTTGCCTGGCTTCGCTTTGCGCGTTTTGTTGCTCCTTCCCCTGCCCATCCCTCGTCTGACCTTGGCCTTGCTGCGCGCGCTTTGTGCCCTGTTCGCCTTCCCCCCCACTCTCTCCCTCCCCCCCTCTCCCGCGTTCTCATCCTCCCCCCTCCTCTCCCCCCCCCGCCCCCGCCCTTTCCGGTGCAGTCCGAAGGGCATGTTGGAGCGGCTGGCGTACCAGTCTTTCATCGTAGCCATGCTCTTCTTCTGCTCCGCCGACGCCACGCCCATCTTCATCATGGTGCGTGTCTGCGCTTGTGAGCGCGCGTGCGCGAGAGAATGAGTGTGCGTTGGTTGGGAGAGGGAAGGCAGTGCGTGCGTGCGTTAGCATGTGGATGACCCCGTGCCGTTCATGTGGCAGTTCATGTGGCATGCCGCATGCCACTCCTCCCGTGTGAGAGGGAAGGCAGTTCATGTGGCATGCCGCATGCCACTCCTCCCGTGTGAGAGGGAAGGCAGTTCATGTGGCATGCCGCATGCCACTCCTCCCGTGCTGCCTCGCCTCTTCCGTACCCCGCCTTTCCTCCTCCAATTCCTTGCCTCCCCCCCCCTTCATTTCGCCCCATTTCGCCCTCCTCACCCTACTCCCTCATCCCCCTCCCCCCGTCCCCTCACCCCCTCCCCCGCCCCCCGCCCTCCCCCCAACTCCCCGCTCCGCCGCCCCCCCCCAGGAGCGCAACATATTCATCCGAGAAACGTCTCACAACACGTACCGCGCGTCGACATACGTGATGGCGACGATGGCGGTGTACGTGCCGCTGCAGGCGCTCATGGCGCTCACGCTCACGCTCGAGTCGTGGTGGACCGTGGGGCTGTCGGGCGGCTTCTCCGGCGCGCTCTTCTTCGCCACCATCTGCTTCCTCTGCCTCTTCACCGGCAACGCCATCTCCACCTTCGCCAGCTCCTTCTTCAAGAAGTGAGTGCTGCTGCTGCAGAGAGGGGTGGGGGGTGGTGCTGGCCTGGGCTGGGGCTGAGCTGGTCTGGGTGCGTGCCGCTGGGGGTTTGAGCCAGCTTTCCACGCTCAGCATACACTAATCCCTTCTCACTCTCCACTTCTCCCCCTCACCCTTTCCCCTTCCCTCTCCCCTTCCCCCTCCTCCCTTTCCCTCTCCCCCTGTCCCCCCTGCCCGCCTCCCTCTCACTCCCGTGCAGCATGATCCTGGCGTACGCGACAGTGATCTCGACGATGGCGTACTTCACGCTGGTGTCGGGCTTCTACATCCACCGCACGTCCATCCCCAAGTTCTGGATCTGGCTGCACTACCTCTCGCCCATGAAGTACGCCTTCGAGGCGCTCGTGCAGAACGAGTTCGTCAGGTGCGTGCGTGCTGAAACGGCCTCCCGACCACCTCCCTACTACCTTCGTGATGCGACTCCACCTCCCTCCCTCCCTCTCCCCTCCCTCCCTCCCGCCCTCCCTCTCCCCTCCCTCCCTCCCTCTCCCTCTGCTTCTATGTGATCCTCACTCCATTCTCAACTTACTCACTTACCCCCCCTCCCATCCGTGCTACCTGACGCTGAATGCAGCGTTTGACTCGAGCCAGTGAACATGACACGGCTGAAGCCCGCGCTGAGAATGTTCCTACCTCACTCCCTCCCCTCGTCCCCCTCCCCTCCCCCCCCCCCCCCCCCACACCCGCCCTACTTGCCAATCCACATTCCATCCTCTCTCCACCGCAGGGATGGCGGGCCATGCTACCTGACGCTGAACGAAGCCTTTGACATCGAGCCGGTGAGCACGTACGTGAACACGACGCGGCTGAAGCCCGCTCTCACAGCGTTCCTGCCCAACATCGTGACCCCGGGCGTGGGCAAGCTGACGGCGCAGAGCTGCATCATGACGGGCACGTTCATCAGCCGCAAGTACCTGGACATTGTGGAGCTCAACAAGTACCAGAGCATGGCTGTGCTCTTCTCCATGGCTGTCAGTGTGCGGATTGGGTACTTTTTGGTGCTCACGCTGATTTACAAGACCAAGAGGAAGTAGGGGGAGGGGGGAGGGAGAGGGGGAGGAGGGAGGAGGCAGGAGGAAGGGGTTTATGTTGACCTTTTACAGACACACACACACACACACATACAGATGTGTACACAGATACACAGACACACCTGCACACACACATGCACACACCCCCCAACACAAACACACACACACATGGAGCAGACACACATGCAAGTGTCTTAGTGGTGCTCACAGGGCAAGTAACTGTGCCTTGTGTGCAGTGCATCTAGGTTGCCTTGGCCATTTCTGTATGGCTGCTGCTGCGTGCAACTCACAAGCAACTGAAGGAGCCCGGTTGAATGACAAGACAGCTGTAGTGGTGGATACCGTACCCTTAGGATTTGTTCAGGGAAGTGGTAGTACTGATATGGTCCCCCCCGTAAGTGCTTTTATGTGCATTGACTACTGTCATTGACTGTTTTGTCATTCGTTTGCATGGTGTACGAAGGTGTCCAAAGTACAGCTAAGCTTAGCTGAAGTCATTTCCCTGCTAAGGTCGACGTCAAATGTGGACGTCAAACCAGAGGCAAATCCCAACTTCGGACATGCTCACTTGCACGCGCAAGCCTTTCCAAAATGATATACTGTAAAACGTTTTCCGATCAGGGTAGCAAGAAAATGGGAACCACCAGCTTACTAAAAGCTACCATTATCAAAATCAGAAAAGTGTAATTGAAAGAGTGAGTACACACAGATATACCTAAGTCATGTACCCTCTAAGAGATGACCCTATATAGTCTATACAAACATGACAATTACACATGTTTGACACACCCCCAAGACTGCATAGGGGAATGTCCTAAACAAGCAGCTCAGGGCGGTATCAAACAGTGAATTGAATGAATAGAGAGGGAGAGTACACAAACATATACCTAAATGTTGTACTCTCTAGGAGGTGACCCTATACAGTCTATACAAACATGATAACTACACATGTTTGACACACCCCTTGGACTGCATAGGGGAATGTTCTAGACAAACAGCTCAGGGTGGCACTACTAGTCCAGCCTCTGAGACAAGGGTCTAAAAGACCAGTCAGAAGGAGTACAGGCAAGGCAAGAACTAGTACAGGGCGGCACTACTAGTCCAACCACTGTGAGAGGACACAAGTCCGGTCTGAATGTACTCATATATATATGGGACAGTACAAAGTCAAGGCCCGAGTAAGTGAGAGACTACAGGAACCAGACCAAGCTGTACACAGTGCCGCTGATGATCTTTAGGCGCAAGCGCCTTCGTAAAGATATCAGCTGTGTTGGCACCAGAGGCCAAGTGCACTACGCGAGCCTGGCGACGCTGCTGTAGCTCACGCAGAGGGAAGTACCGCAGCTGGATGTGCTTTGCTCTGCCCTCGAGTCGAGGCTCCTGACACAGGAGGATCATGGCCCTGTTGTCAGCGTACAGGACCGGGGCAGAGCTAGGCCGCTCACCTAAGTCAGTGAGCAAGAAGGTCAGCCAGCGGAGCTCCTGTGCCGCCATGGCACCGGCGTAGATCTCAGCCTCACAGCTGGACTGGGCAACAGACGAGGAGCGGGTAGCTCTCCACGAGACAGCACCTGAGCCAAGGCTAAAGCAGTAGCCCTGGGAAGACCTGAGCGTCTCGGCGTCGTCTGCCCAAGAAGCGTCTGTGTGTCCAGTAAGGACCACTGGCCTGCGTCCGCCTAGCACTAACCCCATGCCCGATGTACTTGCAAGATAACGCAAAACCCTCTTAGCGGCAGACCAGTGCTGAGGTCGGTGTCTGCCTGTGGCCACGAAACGAGCCAGGATGCTGAGAGGGTATGCGAGATCTGGGCGAGTGCAAGTCATCAGGTACATGAGGCAACCCACTAGCTCAGCGTAAGGACCACTGGGATCTACCGACTCCTCAGGAACTGGAGCAGAGAGTCTGTGGTCCAGAGGAAGAGGGGTGGGCTGTGCGGAGGAGAACTGAAGGCCGAACCTCTGAAGGACCTGGCGCACCAAGTGTGACTGAGTCAGGGTGATGGTGCGCGCGGCTCTGTCCCTGGAGATCTGCAAGCCAAGGTAACGGCGCAGCTCTCCAAGGTCAGTGCAGGTGTGTCTCTTCAGCAGCTCTGCCTTCACGGAGGCCAGTGCGTCCCTGTCAGCTGTGGCAAAGACCAGGTCGTCTACGTAGACGAGGATGTAGAACGGAGTCGAGCCAGCACGAACGAAGAGCGAGGGGTCTGCAGAGGACGGAAAGAACTGCAGGTCAGCAAGGGTAGCACGCAGCGTGTCGTGCCACTCACGAGGCGCCTGGCGCAGGCCGTAGACTGGGCGCCGCAGAAGCCACTGGGTCCCAGGGGGGAAGGTGTCAGTAAAGCCCTGAGGACGACGCAGGTAGACCTGCTCGTGAAGGCTGCCCTGAAGAAAGGCAGTGGAGAAGTCGAGGGAGTGAAGCTCGTAGTCACGCTGAGCCGCTACGTGTAGCAGAACCCGAAGAGTAGTCATCTTCGGGGTAGGAGCGAAAGTCTGAAAGAAGTCCACCCCCTCGCGCTGACTGAAGCCTCTAGCCACGTAGCGCGCCTTGAACACAGGCGGCTCTCCAGGAGGGCGCTTCACCTTGAAGAGCCAACGGCCATCGACCACGTTCACCCCAGGTGGGGGAAGTGCGTCGACGAAGGTGCCGGTGGATCTCCAAGATGCCATCTCCTGCTCCATGGCAGCTATCCACTGAGAGGCCCAGGGTCCCGAGACCGCCTCAGCGTAAGTACGAGGGGTCGGGATGTCGAAAGCGTCTGGGTCACCCTCAGGGACTAGCAGCATGGAACAGAGATGGGGAGCAGCCTCGGACAGGAAAGCAAGCTCGAACTGGCGGTCCTCCAGGACGTCACTGCCAAGAGCAGGAGCACCCCCGACAGACGGAGGACAGGGAGGGTCAGAGACCAGAGCGGTGGCGTAGTCAAGGCGGCGGGTAGAGGCGAAGTCAGCGACCGCAGCGACGAGGGCGTCAAGACTCGACACTGGAACAGACGGGTCGGTAACGAGAGAGGCAAGGACCCGAGGAACAAGAGGACGAGCGGCACGAAAGTAGTCGGACAGAGGAGGAGACGCAACGACAAGAGAAGACGGAGGAGGAGACGGGAGGAGGGGAGGACGAGACGCGTGGGAACGGAGCAACATAGGGTAAGAGCGCGGGACGGGGGAGACAGGACGAGCACGGGAGGGGCGGCGAGACCAGACGTGAGAGGGCGGCGTCGGGTCAGGAGACAGAGGAGGGGACACAGGAGGGGAACGAGGGGGAAGACGAGCCGGGGACGAGTTCGGCAGAGGGAACACAGGGCCGTAGACGGGAAGAGGAGGAGACGGCAGGAGAGGAACAGGCGCAGGGTCAGGGGACGGAAGGCCGAGCAGACGGAGGGCGGACACCGGCGGGGACTGCTGCGGCGGCGACACAACACCAACGCCAGGGCCACAAGCTGCGCGACGGCTACCTCCCGAAACCTCCACACCGGCACCCCCAGAAGGGACACCCCCAGAGTGCGAAACCCCACCAGCACCGGTACCACCCCCAGAGTCCACAAACAGCGGCAGCGACGACAGCGGCGGCGGCGGCGGCGGCTGCGACGGCTGCGACGGCGGCGGCGGCAGAGACGACGGCTGCAACGACGGCGGCGGTGGAGACGACGGCTGCAGCAGCTGTGGCGACGGCGGCTGCGGAGGCGGTGGAGGAGGAGACACCGGGGGAGGGACAGACGGCGAGGACTGCGCCGGAGGACTACCAGAGTCAGAAGACTCGTCGACCGGGACGACCGACGGGAGGGGGGTGACGTGAGACACACCAGAGGGGGCCGGACGGGGGGGGCGGGGGGGGGGAGGGGCAGGGACCACCAGGGAGGGAGGAACCAGGAACAGGGGGGGAGTAACCGGGGGACCACGGTGGGGAAAGCGGCGGTAGAAGGAGACGGACTCGTCAAAGGTGACGTCGCGAGAGTGAAAGAAGCGGTGAGACGGCGGGTGGTAGAAGTGCCAGTCGGACGCGTCAAGGGGGAAACCGAGGAAGACGCAGGGGAGAGTGCGGGCAGTGAGCTTGTCCGTGCCAGAGGCACGAACGTGAGCAAGGCAGCCCCAGACGCGGAACGCAGACGCGTCACCAGGGGACCCGGTCCACATAAGGGTCGGCGAAACCTGCGGCCGCTGGGGGTGCGGCCACAGGTTAAGCTGGTGAGCGGCGTAGCGCACGGCGAACGGCCACAGAAAATGGGGTGCACCGGCGTGGATCATGGAGGTGCGAGCCACCTCCATGACCAAACCGATGCGTCGCTCAGCGACCCCATTCTGCTGCGGGGAGTCCGGCAGGGTAAACGTCTGGGTGATGCCCTCCGCACGACAGAAGCGACCAAGGACACCTGAGGCAAACTCGCCACCCCGGTCGGAGTGGAGGCGCAAGGCAGGGAGACCGCGGTGGACACGAGCAGAGACAAGCCAGGGGATGAGAACGTCAGGCACGTCGGCCTTCCGCTCCAGGGGGAAGACGGTGGTGTAGCGCGTGAAGTCGTCGACAAGCACTAGGAAGAAGCGCTCGCGACGCGGCCCATGGACCGGGGCTGGGCCCCAGACATCCATGTGCAGAGTCTGCAGTGGTGCGGTGGTAGGGGGAAAAGAGGAGGAGTGAGGGGCACGGCGGAGCCGGCCCTCGACACAAGGCGTGCACGGTGGGGCGGGGGAGGAGGGAAACTCAGGGAACGAACCGGGGAGACCAAGGACGAGACCGTGCTGGGACATGTGACGCAGACGTGGGAGTGCAGGGTGACCAAGGCGGTGGTGCCAAAGGAG